AATGACTGGCTGCAGAATAACTCAATATTGAAATATACACTAATTAAAATTAATTATCAAGGCTTACGGAAAAGAACGTATTCATTGACTTCCTTTTTTGGAATGTAATATCGAGCATCTTAGAATGTTGTGCAAAATTTAGACATTTACGAGCAGTTCGCTGTAATTCGCGCCTGAAGGGGTTATTCTCGCGGTCTCGCCTTAGTATGTCTAAGTTAGGGAGATAACCTCAGAATCATCGATGAAAGGGTAGAGCCACGTTTAAGTTAGTACCAAGTAATGGGAAATCGGACGAGAATCGGAAACTTCAGCAATCAGTGGCATTTCCTGCTCAAAAGTCGATGGCACACAAGGCTGCACCAATGGGCATGATCTTCAGACTGACGTCATGAGCAGGAGTGCCATTGACCCCGCCTGCAGAGAATGTTGCGGAGAGAAAAAGCTGGACTATTTTTTTAGTCGCTGAGGTGATCGGCTGCCACGCTTCGACGGTCTGTGCGGGGCATACCCTGACCTCTCAAGTCGTATCCGACTTTAAGTGGCATAGTACTTTATCCCCCATAAAGGGCCCATCAAACAGCCTCTAGAATACAAAAAAAATCACAGCATATCCACAGAGTGGATGACAATGAGTGGGGCGCAGAGTGAGTCCGTTGATCGGTCGGCCTGCCTGCCTGCCTGCCAGCCAGCCAGTCCGTCATTTTGTCCGTCCGTCCACTCCTATCAACCTAGAGCACGCATAGGACGGACGCTTCGCCCCACTTATCATTCACTCCGTGGACACGCAGTGAATTTCTTAATATAACGGTGCCATCTGTCCTCTTCATTCGTCAAATATACAAAAACCGCTAGCGTCATCTAGCGATATCTCCAAGAACATATACACACAACACCATCTAGTGAGCAATTCTTAAAGCTAACTAGAACGTATACAACATACTACTAAGGAACGACCCACAACCTAAGGAGCTTCGCCCCTCAAAAAGTTGACCACCATACCCACCAAGTAAATGATGTTACAGGAGCTCGCTCGGAAGTTCGCGGGCCGTTTCTTGGCGAGATCATTTCTGTAGGAAGGCTTGCCAACGAGCCTGCGCATTATGTGTACGTCGAAGGCAGCGTTGTCGGACACGTTCCGCGGCCGGCACTGCACAGTGTTGGCCACGTCGATCAGCAAGTTGATCACCTGGCCTGAAGAGACGCGAAGTTCGCGTAGCGTCACGTAATGCAGTGGCGGCAGCGATTCTGTGCCTCCCTCAGAAGCGGTGGATGCTCAACTGATTATGCCGCTTTGTTTTCAAACGCTCACGAACATAGTTCGACATTTCCTTGTTCGCGAACGATCCAAAACACATATTATTCACGCAATATCTTCAACTCTACTATTTATTTATTTCAGAAGTACTGCCAACCTCACACATGAGGCCTTAGGCAGGGGTGGGTGATACAAAAAAGGAAACAAATATGAAGATACAACAGGAAAGGAAACACGTCACGTAGAGCTGCACCATCAAGAACTAGTGAATCAAAGTAAAACGCCAGTACTTACACAATTGTAGTGGTTTACGCGTACACGTACAAAAAAAAAACCATGATGACAAACATCTGCTCATACACAACTAAGAAACAAACATCATATAACGGTTCAAAAATCGGCAACATTTCAAAAAATACAACGCATTGATATGAAAAAAAGTGATAGAAAGTGGAACATAAATGGAAGCCTGTTCAGGGTGCACGGTGGAATAATAGAGGGCGAAGCGCAAAGAAAGATCGAAGTAAAGTGGCTTGCTGGTGTTTAAGTTTTTCCATGAACGACTGATCGGCAGGAAGAGCATTCCAATTGAACAGCTAAGTTTACCACGTAAGCTTGGTACGTTAACGAGCCACGTAACGTGTTTTCGCAGAGAGCCGAGGAGGCGCTGGTGACTACGCCAATGGCGCCGGCTACGCTCGGTCCAGCAGTGCGCAGCTACACACAGCCGCCAGCTCCGCGCCGGCTGACGGCCCCGCCCCAGCAACAGTACTACCAGCAGGCGGCGCCGTACCCACAAGAGGCCCTCTACGTTGGCCACAACATGGCGCCTTTCGCGGAACCCCCGACGGCGGCCACGCCACCGCCAACGGCGCCCGCACAGCCGCCGCCATACAGTTACGCGCAACAGCGTGGTCAATGATTGCCGTGCAGCTGGAGACGGACCCGATTACGATACTCAACATTAGAGAGTTTTAGTACTGCGGAATGGTGCTACGTACACATCACGCAAGCGCCTTGCGTCACGTGGCGTCGTTTGCCACAGATCGGCTTTTAGTACGCCGTAGTACCCGCGTACGTAACGAGCGTCAAGCGTGTTGCATCATCTTGTAGATCAAAATAGAAGCACGTGTTATTGACAGCCAATGCGAGCCAATCCAAGTGTTATAGCCAGATTATGGCCATATTTTAAGCCACAGAGCCGGTCGGTGCTTGCCTTCGATGCCGCCATTTTGCTAAACGAAGTCTCGCGCTGTCGCGAACTTGTTCGAGAGTGGCGCGATCAGCCCATACGTACGCACGCACGCATCTCATGCGTGCGTACGTAGCGGCTGCATACGTAACGCGATACGTGCGCGTTGCGGTCTGCGCATGCGCGCTACGGAGAACGTGGCGTCCTTACGTACGCAACGCCGCCACGTACGCAGCGTACGCAGTACTAAAACTCTCTATTTACTGCCCCTGCGTGAAGCGAAGAACCCTGGCCAACGCGTCGGGATGCCGATTCCGGTCGGACACGTCCAGAACTCGACAAGTCTAAGAGCTCCACGCACGACCATATAGTGCTGCTGGCAGCGGGCGCACATCGAATACGATGTGGATGATGCACCGTGTGAAATAGTTCGTAATGTGCCTACTGACAATGTCAGCCTAAGAATGCTGTCTATTTCTGCGTGTACGCGTGTATACCGCGCACGTACATCCAGAAACTTTTTTTTTTACAGAACGCAATAAACCTTCGTGAGAAAGATGAAATTCTGCGCGGCTTGCGGGTGGCATGTGGCCCATGGATCTTACGCTATCAGCCCGCGGCTCCCACATTTCAGAGACATGATTGATTTCAAGCAATGTTTTTTGAAGCACCCTATGCGGTCACTGTGCATTGAAACATAACCGCTAAGCAAAATCCCTTTACTTACGTATTTTAGTAATTCTGGACATCAAGACATAAATAACGTCCTAATCCCGTCGCGTACGTCGTCAAACACTTGCCGCCAAACAGTGTCCTTTGCCCGCGGGCGGATATGTGCCACTGGTATGAGGGTATAGTGCCACAGGTCATTTACACTTAGTATTTACCCAGGAACGACGAGAACACGCATACGTAAGTTTACCACGTGAGCCGTAAGAAAAAAACCTGACATCGGCCCCGTTGACCGGACGAATGCGAATAATAAATGTCAGGGTCCCAGCAGAAATCGAACCACGCATTCTGCGAGGCAATGAAGAATTATACCACAGCGCCACGCCAGGTCTCGGAACTACTTTTCGAATAGACGCTATAATGTTCGTGAAACGTCAGTTTTGGTTGCAGTGCTGACCATCCAATTTTATGAACATTACGTTTGTACTCCTGTGATACAGCCGTCACGTCGAAATAACCTCAATTCTAATTAGGTGCAATGTGCCGATGTTGATTTATACAGCAGTGTCCAGGACCGCCATGCTCGAGAGCACCAACGCTTCATATCATCTTATCGCTTCTGGTGTTGATAATACTCATGTTCCTGTTGGCATCATTGCGCAAGTGCAAACAACTAGTTATATAAACATCTGCAACTGTTCAACACTTGTCTGTGCGTACAACATTTGTACATATTTTAGCGTCATTTTATAAAAAGTCAATCACCAAAAAAATCACAACACTGTTTGTTACCTTCCATCCGCATGCTTCGCATAACATCGATTCCCTCCGACGGTACGTGGGATCTTCCGACATTTTTTTTTTTTTTGAGAGGGGGGGGGGGGGGGGCTCTGCTCATGAATAACGATGGAACCAGTGGATGTGTGTACCGTTGTTGCATTACGAACTTCGCGTCTCACTGTGTTGGTGCCTCAACGTGGCTCTTCCGATGACGTCAGTGCAAGCCATCTATAGTTTTCTATATATACCTCTTTCGCGATGAGTCTTCGGGTAGCTCAACTTTGTCGTTCATACGCGCAAGGCCTAGCGAATGTCGTTTAGGTCAACAACGCGATGTAAACTGTTGTCTTTTCATTTTTTTTTAGGGACGAAGCTCCTAAAGCCGTGAGTTTGTCTTTCTATACTGTGACCAATTCGTGACCACCTAGTTTATGGATAACTCGGCTGTTGGGGCTAGTGTTAGACAGACAGACAGACAGACAGACAGACAGACAGACAGACAGACAGACAGACAGACAGACAGACAGACAGACAGACAGACAGACAGACAGACAGATAGATAGACAGATAGATAGACAGATAGATAGACAGACAGACAGACAGACAGACAGATAGACAGACAGATAGATAGATAGATAGATAGATAGATAGATAGATAGATAGATAGATAGATAGATAGATAGATAGATAGATAGATAGATAGATAGATAGATAGATAGATAGATAGATAGATAGATAGATAGATAGATAGATAGATAGATAGATAGATAGATAGATAGATAGATAGATAGATAGATAGATAGATTCACGGTTTACCGATGAAACCCTCCGAATCTTCGCCCCACTCATTATCATTCACTCCGTTGATATGATATAATTTTTCAATGCGTATGTTTAGCGAACGCATATAAAGGTTACGTAGATAGCGGAAGCAACACACGCACGTCTCACCAGGCCACAGGGCTTATTGCTCGTGCTCGTGTCGCGTCCCCTTTATTGACGTCCCGCGATAACGCCTGGACATCTGCCGCGCTGCTTCACGTCTGACGGCGCTCATATTTGCGTCGGAAGCCGCCAGCTTTAGATCGTGACTCTCCCCGTAAACTGTAGCCGACAGACAATGCTTGCCTTTAACGCAATCTGTAACTGCTCTCTCTGGCGATCGAGAAAGTGCGCCTAAAAGGAAACCTGGATACCACACGAAACAACAAGACTTTCTTTCAAAGTTTTCGAGTGAGTACGTATTGCTTATCTCTTTCGCCATTCCGGTATCCGGCTGTGAATGTCGACAACGAGGTTAGGACTGCTTGGAAGAGTAGATAAACCGACCTCCGCTACGTGCGCTGGTTTATTCAAGTTTTATTCAACATCAACGATATTTCAACATCAACGATATCAGTCTGCAGAAAAGTTTGTACCAGATTGGTACTACACAAGGAGCCCCAAAATTAGAAACTGGCGGGGGGACGCCACGTATGATGTGAACGGGAAAGGAGACATGCATCGTGTAGTGGTTACAGTACCTTCGGTAAGAAATAAAACAGTGGAGGGGGGGGGGCAATCTAAAAGCACAAAGACGTATATGTAGACAAATCAAAAAGTAACACTGAAAAACAATTGGAAATTACAATACAATGCAGAAGGGCAACATCACACCTAGCAATGAAAAAGTCATTTGCTAGGACAAAGACAGTTGTTGCAAAAAGTATTTCTGTACTTGTTTTTTGAACGCATGTTCCATGCTTTATCATTTCATGCTGTAAGGAAGGGACTTCTATATATTGAATCCCGTTAACGCTGTGGTTAACACACTGCAGTTCATGCGGTAGTCCAGTACTGCACTATCACATTCCCATTACACACTTCGGTATGCCCTATACGGAAGGAGCTTAGCCATCCGCGTTCCCTACAAGGGCAATCGGAGTAGCGCCTTTTCCGCGCCACATCCAGTCACTTGTCTAACAACGCGGTTAGTCCACGTCTCTCTCCGTAAATGTTCGGACGTACTTGTCATTTACACATAGCATTCCTAAAGAAATGCGTGAGCACAACATAGCCCGGTAAGGTAGAGTGTAACAAGAGGTTGTAAAAGGGAGTGATGGAGATTGACTGATATGTGGTGTTTAACGTCCCAAAACCACCATATGAATATGAGAGACGCCGTAGTGGAGGGCTCCGGAAATTTCGACCACCTGGGGTTCTTTAACGTGCGCCCAAGTCTGAGCACATGGGCCTACAATATTTCCGCCTCCATCGGAAATGCAGCCGCCGCAGCCGGGATTCGCTCCCGCGACCTGCGGGTTGAGTACCTTAGCCACTAGACCACCGCGGCGGGGCAGGAGTGATGGAGAGGACAGGTGTGAGCGTATAAGGAGGAAAGAAAGCACGGGAGTGTGAAACATACCACATAAAGAAATACGTCAATTACGTAGGTTCCATGCCGACGGTTGGTAGTATCTACGACAGAAAAAGACTGTACACTGCTTCCTAATTTATTATATGTAAGCGGCGCGCCCACGTTAGAGCAAAAATGGACGCCTTCATTTGTACTTAAGCCTTTCAGCGATTAAGCTCTTTATCGACCAAGTTTTTTCTTTTCATCTTGAAGGTCAATCAGCAAGCTTGAATGCGCCGTTGGAAAGATTTTGATTTGATTGATATGCGGGGTTTAACCTCCCAAAACCTCCATATGATTATGAGAGACGCCGTAGTGGAGGGCTCCGGAAATTTCGACCACCTGGGGTTCTTTAACGTGCACACAAATCTGAGCACACGGGCCTGCAACATTGTCGCCTCAATCGGAAAGTTGGAAAGCTTTTAACGACTATACGACTTCAAGTCCCGCTTCGGGCCACATTGTCATTTCGTCTGAATTGAAGTTTTGCGAATTCCATGCGTCGGCAAAATTTTCGTAGCCTAAGCAGCGCTTGCGTGTGTCGTCTCTGTCCTTGTGGTGTGTCTGTGGTTAAGTTTTACTGAAGTACCTAACCAGTCGCAGTTCGTCGCTACATGCCAGCGCAAGTATTGCTAGCATATCGTCTTAATCAAGCTGCCTTGACCGCACAAGGTCGGTGCCGGGAGTTGTAGCGATAAAATAAGATATATATACTGAAACAAAAATACACGATGTATATTAACCACATGCGGCGATGTGGAAATCTAAGAACGCTTTGTTCTTCTAGCCGCAACGATATCGCTGGGACTAGGTCGCCCTGAGAACGGCGATGGTTTTTTCTAAGTGCGACAATAAGGATCTACCGCCGTCGACTTATCTCGCATTACTGTTGGCGCGAAGAATCCCCCGAGATAGCGTAGCTATAACCGTCTCGCAAACAAGTTCGTTCCGTAAGCATTGCTACACGGCGACGGCACTCGAAGCGAGTATAGTTACAGGAGTGGGGCACTCAGCGTGTCACCTTGTCGCTTGGCCTCCCTTTGGACAGGTGAGCGGAGCATCGATGTAAGCAACGAAATCGCGGAACATCATGAGTGTCATCATCATCATCATCAGCAGCAGGAGCAGCATCATCATCATCAGTCTGAATATGCCCACTGCAAGGCAAGGACCTCTTCGCGTTCTGCTAATCAATCCGGTCCTGTGCTTTCTGCTGCCACGTTATACTTGCAAACATCTTTAATCTCATATGCCCGCCTAAACTTCTGTCTCCCCCCCCCCCCTCTCGCCCACGCGTCGGCCCTTCTCTTGAAATCCAGCCGTTTACCCTTAATGACCAGCGGTTATCTGCCTATACGCGCGATGTGCCAGGCCCATGTTCATTTCCTCATCACGATATCAACTACTGATATCCTTTAACACCGGTTTGTTACCTGACCCACTCTGCTCTCTTCCTGACCCTTATACTACACCTATAATTTCTCCTTTCCATTGCTCACTGCGTCGTCCTCAATTTAGGCTGAACCCTCTTCGTAAGCCTCCAAGCTTAAAAAGAAGCACTTCCCTAACTCGAGCGATGCCAGCACTTGCTCCCCACCCAAGCTAAACCAGCGCCCCATCCCTCCCCCAGCATCGACGCAAGACGGTTTTGCACCTCCTCCCACGAGAATATAAAAAAAAATCCGCCAATGTTTATGCAGTATCCTCCTTTCTTAGCCACAACCCATGCCGCGGTATGGCGTAATGGCCCTGGCATTTCGCTTCTCAAAGTACGCCGAGACCACGTACTCGGTTTCGGTCCGTCTTTGCGATATCACGTGTGACCGGAAACAACCAACAACTACCAGGAGAACGTGCACAGACGTCGTCCTTGCCAAGCCAACTTCAGGCTAAATCCGATACCACAAAGCAGTAATTAACAATGAAGGCAGAACGAAATTCACAGCTCAACACACCATTTGAGACCGATAAACACTGTATATAACCGTTCACCGATTCGTCGCTCATTGACATGCGTGAGTGCTCAATGTCGCGGGTGATTTCCCGGTAACACCGAACGATACCACTGCTTCACCCACTCATCGTCATTCACTTTGTGGATACGCAGTGGTTTTTTTTTTATAATCATTTTTTGTAGGCACGCCGACAGAGTCATGTATCGCTGTTTGTGGTCAACTGCTGGAAGCGTCTGCCTCGCCATCTTCTTGGATGCTGCGAGGGCAGAGAGCACCGACTGGGAGGACCAGATGAGACGGCAGTTCCAGCCGAGTTACGACGACAGCCGGTGTAAGCCACGTGCCACTGCCCCTCATCCGCTCACTGCCTTCTCGCCATCGCAAGCCGCGCTGTACCAGAGATGCTTATCCTTGCCGAGCGTCAATAATAGGGGTTCACTAAACTGCTTGAACTACGCGCGCATTTGCTTGCTCGTATACTACACGGATGCATTCAATCATACGAGTAGGGAGACATCAGGACGTCTTGATGCGCTAGTTTAAGGTCTTCAGAGACCTGTTTAAGTGTTCCTTCTTAGTGTTGTCTTCCTTTTCAGCGCATTTTTTTTCCTGTATAGGGATACAGCCCTTGAGCCTTATCAACAGGCGTGCGCAAAGATCTTCAACAGGGAGACCAAGATTTATCGCAGCACCTCGCGCTCCTCCTGCCTCCCCTAATAGTTGAGTCTTAAGCAAAACAAGATTTACAATCGATGCAATAACTGAAAATAATGCAATGGCATGATTATCAAAAAACTGTGTCATTGGTCCACAGCATTCCAGGCGTAAAAAATGGGAGCTGTAGAGTTGTAATGCGTTCGTGGAAAAAAAAAAGGGGGGGGGCGGTCCGTGACCAATGTTAAAACAAAACAAAATGACGATCGGACGTTTCGGGATCTGTACAGATTCAGTGTTCGCACAATGGAATGACGGCTGAACAGCAAGTTCTTATGTAGCGTTGACGCAATGTCCGGGACCCTACATGTGGTTCAGCGTGCCAGATGACCTATTGATTGTGTTACTCCTTGTCTGAGTGATTAGTGATTCGAGGTTGAGTGTCTTCGTCAAAATCTTTTCCGTATAGCCGTGATGCGTGCGTAATCCCAGCTTATCTCGTGGCCCGCCCTCTCGGACTATTCTGCGAGTGCATTTGAGACTATGTGGCCTATTGGCGACTCCATTCTTGAGCTGCTTCAGACGTCTGCACATATTTCCGCATTCGCCAGTGTTTGCCGATTCGCGATCAGCACATGGGATCGTACCAGCAAAGCGTTGCCGCGGGAAAGGATCCTTCGCCTATAGCAAGTCAGCCTTAAAGGCACAGCACGAGGGGGCAAACAATTTTTCGCCTATTAGTAAAGTACCATTTCACGATCTCGAAAACACCACTCTTGCCGCGACACGACACTCGTTGAGCGAGAAAACGCGCTGAAAGAAAAAAAAGAGGGTGGAGAAGCCACCTTCAGATTCGCGCACCAAATACCATGACGTCATAGATTGACGGCAATCACTGTGTCCTAGGTAGCTCCTAATCGTTAACGCTGAAATATATTGTCATCTGTGGGTCCCCTAGTCCCCCCTATCGTACGAAGTTTCATAAAATTTCATCACACCAATGTCACGAAAATACGAAAAATACATTTTGAAAATTTTGAAGGTAACGAGTGGAGGTTTCGGCACGAAATTTACGCCTTTATTCTGGAACGTCCCTTCACTCAACTGCTTAACCTTCACTTGAGAAGGCTAATGAGAGCGCCGTCTCTAGGCAGGGAAAGTGACTACATATTAGCGATGATCTGCTGCGATTCTTGAGTAGCACAGCGTCATTTTCAGCTGAGCAGCGGCGCAATGCTCAACTCTGTCAAGTGAAGGGTGAAAGTCGAGTCGAGGAGCGTTTGTGAATACGGGGGTTAAAGATGAAACTTCAACTTCGATGTACTCCGCTCATAATGAACTTATGATAGTGAAATATTGATACGTACATGGAACTGTCGCTTCGGCACAGCTGAAATGGCACGCGAAAGGAGGAAGACGACAACGTGGTTGTTGTGGGTTGGTCTCTCGAGCTTCTCCCGTTGGCCTGCATGACTGTGCGCTCTTTAAGCCGTTAGCAAGACCGAATGTCGGTGATTAAATCTTCCCCGTAACATCTTTTTGTGGAGGTGGGGGGTTGGAATTAGAGTTCTTAGAGTACATTTTGTCAATCTAAACAAATTCATTGTTTCTCTTTAGCGTCCATTTAAAAAAGCAGTTAAGCGTACAAGAATAAGGGCCCCCTATCCACCCAAACACACATGACAAGCGCGCCAAGTAGCCTTCGCCCACCATTGCTTACTGTTAACTTAGTGCGACTTCTGTCGATTCTTGAACCCCCCCCCCCCCTTCGCATTCTACACGTTTTGATGTACAGGGAAACGTCATCGGTCCCGTGAACTCCTGTCCACCGGCGCCATTGTGGGGATCGTCGTAGCGATCGTCGCGGCGGCCGTCTCGGTCTTCCTGTGCTGCTGCTACCGTCGAAGAAGGCGGCGCACTCTGGTGAGCAATTCGCGCAGTAGACGTTGCGCGTTCGAGACGATTTCGACGGCCAGCGCAAACAACACGCGGACGAGAGAAGAAAACTACGACACAAGTGCGTCTCTCTGATATCCGCGTGTAGTTCTCGCTGGCCCGGTCATGACCATTTTTTCCGACTCATTATACGCTCTTTCGAGAAAACTTACCGCGATTAATATTCCCGTGCCGCTGTATGTGGGGACTTTTTGAATATTGCACGTACGTATCGTGGCGCTCCATCATTCACACACGCGAGTACTCGCGACCACAGCCCACAAACAGCACTCAGTTTGTGGATAATTTAAGAGAGAGAAAGAGACAATGAGAGAGACAATGAGTGAGTGAGTGAGCGAGAAAGAGGGTGAGTGACAGAGTAAGTGCGTGCGTGCTTGCGTGTTTGTTGAGGGAGTGCCAAGCTGCGCGTAATTTTCAAGACATAATGGATGTGCCTATGTCCCCTTCAGGAAGTTAAAAAAACGTTCATGGCGGCGCCAAAACAGCCCGAAAGAGAGAAAGTTCGCGAATTTGTCACTAACGAGTTAGAAAGCAAATCAGGAGTAACTGAGAAGAATTCGGAGCAATTACAACTAAACTAAAATCGAAAATGACGCTGCAATAATACACACGTTATAGCTTCCATCGTCAAGTCTATACTAGCGAGATAAGAGACTGTGGATTTTGATTACTGTAGATGCAGTAGTTTGAAAAGAATTCGCCGAAATATTACAAACCCCGCACGGGCACTGAATAACCGTGATGTGTACAGTCGCGCTCAATATTAGTTGCAACACACTGGCGGCGGTTAAAGTGGCTGCGAACCTGAACGATGACACCAACAAATGTTCAATAGGTTCACAAAGAACCGCTAATATAAAGCGTTTAGTTCATTTCTGTTTCTATACATGTGCAATTTCGCAGTGTTGGCGCCATTTTATAAGTACGAAAAGTGTGTTCCTAACACATATTGAGAGCGAACGTACAAGTGGATGTTCACCCGACGTGTCGCAGGCCACACAGCACATAGTCGTGCCTCCGGCCATGGCTCCGGCAATGTCGGGCGTGGCGCCCTACACGTACGCCGGGTCGTACCCTCCCGTCCCGGTAGCCATGACCTCCGCAGTCTCGCCGCATCCACAGCCGAACTACTACGAGCAGCAGGCAGCGCAGCATGCGCAGAGGCGCCCCCTCCAGGCCGGCCATCACATGGCGAGCCCCTCGGGGCAGCCGTCCACAATGCCGATGCCCCCGCCGACCGCGCCACCCGAGCCACCACCGCCCTACAACTACAGGGCGAACTACCCGCGCTGAGGGTTGTGAACTGCGGTCGCGAATTGGAGAACTTCACGAGCGTTCACTTTGGAACTGGGAATAGCTCGTGAAAACCACGCTATAATCTCTACAGGAGGTATTCACACAGTTCTTCCCACCAGGCAGTTCCCCAAGCGCCCGCTAGAGGTGCCCCGCGCAGCGCTGGCCGCTTGGTGTGGTGCAAAGTGGACGCCTCTGTACAATAACCCTTCAACTACTTCTCTAAGGACAAACTTTACATTCATGCTACGAGAGATGTTTGCATAACAGACACGAAGCAACTTTAGAGAGCTTTACTTTAAAGAAATGATCTGAAGATCCTCTACATACGGTGAATATAAATGCTAGAAATGACATTGACGAAACCAGAGCAAACAAGGAGTCTTTTCAGGGTGAGGTCAGTTGATGTGTGTTGCTAAGGCGTTTTCATAAAATATGCCTGGAATAAATTTTTTTAGAGGGACGGGGTGCTTTCCCATAGTTGAGTACGAAGTACTCTAAATCGTGAACCACTTTATTTAAACACACATAAGGATGGCTTTATGCTCTCCCATAGTAGAGTACCTAGTACTCTAAATGGTTAACCACTTTTTCTAAACACACAGTCTCATAAAGTGTGAAGCCCACGGGACGGCTTTCAGCTCTCCCATAGTAGAGTACGAAGTACTCCAAATCGTTACCCACCTTTATCGTAACACAACGCCTACGCCCCTGCGTAGTGCTTTGTGGTGTGAGCCCACCTTTGGGACGGCTGTCCGCTCCTGGTACTTTAAAACGTTAGGCACTTCTTAAAACACAGTATAAAGCCTCTCAGCCTCTACTGTCCCATTGTTGAGTACGAAGCACTCGAAATCACGAAACACTTTTTCTAAACACGTAAACAGTTGAATTATCTGGGCAAATTTTATGGGGCGACACTCGTTAGGCCGTGAGTCCTTTCTCCCTCTAAAGTAGTAGTAGTAGTAGTAGTGGTAGTTTGTCGCCACCTCTAGTTTAAGAGTTGGTCACTAGATGGCGTAATGTGTAAATGTCATCTACAATATTCTCGGGGTAGATGTACGATAATTCTCGGGGTAGTTCTCTGATGCTCGAGGACAGAACGGGAGTATTGTGGATCAAGACGTATCGAGCCAAATACGAAGGCACAGACACGGTATGTAGTGCGTGCAGAGAGGAGGAGGAAACGGCTGGACATTTGATAATGTTCTGTAAAGGTCTCCACCCTATAGTCCAAGATGATGGCGCGGAATTTTCGAAGCATTGAGGTTTAGGGACAGTGAAGGCAAAATAAACTTTAAACGGGTAGAAATTACCTTTAGGAGGCTAACTGATCGGTGACTACAATCGAGGCGCGAGTGGAATTCAGTCCTTAAACACACAGTGGTAGTACTTAGCTTTATGGCTCACGCCACTACCCGATCTAAAGGGCACAGCAGGATTCATCCATCCTTGCCTCCGTCCATCCGTCCGTCCGTTCTTCTTAAAGAAGATATCAATGTAACAGTAGCTACCGAGAACCGAACTTTGGTCGTGGCACGACGATGATGTTAACGCGCGAGTAGAGTGTACTAGACCACAAGTATGGCGACTGCCACGCTAGCGCGCCTTGCGGATGACGTGACGTGAATACCTCCTGTATGGACAAAAATTTATTGATTTATTGCGTTTATTTTGATAGACTGGGTGATTGAGTGACTGGTATGATGGTGGATCGGCTTGGCTTGATTGACTGCCACCCTGCAACTACCCACAATGATTGATTGATTGATGTGTGGGGTTTAGCGGCCCAAAATCACCATATGATACCCACAATGATAACTGAGCACTTCAGCGAGAACCGAATGTCACTCGCAAAGCATGCTACACCCAATGAGAGTAAAGGAACTCCTTAATTGTCCGATTGATCGGCTTGAATTTGGCAGACAGTACGAAATGCGAATGAGTCCTTTTACTCTTCTTCGTGAGTCCTGACTAGATATGATTCTTTTTAAAACAGACACGACCTCTTTTTAGATATCATTATACTCTATTCAAAAAGTCATGACAACCCTTTAGAAGCGGACGTGTGTTTTTTCAGAGAGTCATCTACATGGCAAATAAGAACTCGCATACTCTTCCTTTTGCTTATTTGCCACCCTAGAACTACCAAAGCCGATTACACTGCAAACTTCGGTTGTGCTATGCGGTAAAAGAATACTTCTCGTGTCCCCTCCTAATTACTATTACCTAATTATTTAACTGTGTGATTTTTCGAATGAGCGAGAAGAACTAGGGAGTCTGATAGGATCGACTTGGCCTTAAAAAGTGCCTGAAATTTACGTGCATAAAAGATATATTTTTAAGTACGGTTTATAAACTTATTTTCTCACCCTTTGTTTACTGGGGTGAAAATAAACTGCCTGATCAACAAGTACATTGATTGATTTATTGATTTACATAATTGAGAAGAAGCGATTCCGAGACCCTCATTTAAGATAATTGATGATTGATTTGTGGGGTTTAATGTCCCAAAACCACCATATGATTATGAGAGACGCCGTAGTGGAGGGCTCCGGAAATTTCGACCACCTGGGGTTCTTTAACGTGCGCCCAAATCTGAGCACACGGGCCTACATTTCCGCCTCCATCGGAAATGCAGCCGCCGCAGCCGGGATTCGATCCCACGACCTGCGGGTCAGCGGCCGAGTACCTTAGCCACTAGACCACCGCGGCGGGGCTCATTTGTGATAATTAACCTAGGGTTAATGAAAACTAACAGACAATAATCTTTACATCATTGTATGTTGGTTCTCATTAATATTGTGTAATAACAAAGAAAAGCGAGCCCTTAAGTTTAGAGTTCTTTCCACAAATAACCTAAGACGAAGACAAGACAGACGCAGATACACCGGAAGTTGTGATCCACGGCGATGAAAAAGCATCTGTTACCCTCGAAGGTGACGACAGCAGTTGGAGCAGTGGGTAAAGCGGTGACTTGGGAACTTCAGACAACGAGGCCCAGTCAGAAGTGTGTAGTCGCTGGTGAGATATATTAGGGCAAGGTTTATTTCAATTAGATCGCCGTGTACTTTTTGACTCGACGGTTCTGGGGACTCCTGTACGGACGGAAGTTGTCCTTACGCACGTGTGAAGACTTGTCGCGTAGCAGCTGAAGCTGAGAAAGGGAGAGAGAAAAAGGGAGAGAAGGAAGAAAGAGAACGCGACATTAGGCTTCAAACAATAAAGACTGAACGGGTATACTCAATCTACACGCTGTGCCTACCCAGGCTGGTCTGCTCGCCTGTAGCAGAACCGCTCTAAAATGCAACTATAGGTGAAAGCCTTAAAGACAGAGCGAGAACAGACTCAGAAGCAACATTAAACGAAACCTGAAATTATGCAGTTCATGCCTCAGAACCTTCATATGATTACCAAAGACGCCACAGCGGGTGGATTTCATTTTTTTTTTATCAGAGACCTTCAACATACACGTAAGCCAAAGTCGATTAGTAAACCGTATCTTCGTGCGTATGGGCACTCGAAACGTTATCTTGATTGATTAGCTGTCTACTAAGCCAAACTCAGCTTAGCTTACCTTTCTAAGCTAAAATTGATGACTTTTGAAACGAGCCGGCCATTCCTGTCGCACGAAAGGCGGATGGAGAGAGAGAGAGAGAATGGGGAGGTTGGTGCATCTGGCAGGAAATCTGCGATTTTGACCAATCAGACGTGGTTGTTTTGCGGTCACGCGCCCGTACCTTTACAGGAGATCGGCAGACGGCTCATACCTTCCAAGGCGCTGCGTTCCGATCGCCAGGTTTGCGTTGAAGACGCGTCGGCAGCACGAAAGTAGCATATCGTCGCTCGCTGCAGCGGCAGCTTTTCCTCGCGCCACAATTTCGTTCGGGTTCCGCCGCGTCATATCAACGAAATCAGCCACTATCCTGACTTCGCGCGACATTCCGGTTCGTTTCAATCGAATGCACTGCACGGTCCTTGCGGGCGAAACTGTTTTTGAAAACTTCAACAACAACCACGACTACGAAAAGGGAGGCTGGAGCTCGGATGCCTCACCGTCTTGCTTTTCACCGAAGGATGCGAGTCCAGAACGATCCACTTGACACCTTCGGTGCAGGGCGGTGTCGTCAGGGAGCCGTTGTAGTGGTAGTAAGTTGTGATTGGGCCCACGAAGTCTTCGAGGTTCAACGCCTGCGCCAACGTATAGAGAACGTGACCATATAGAGAACACAACCTTCGAAGCGTGACGATACCATATACAGAACACAACCTTCGAAGATACCATATACAGAACACAACCTTCGAAGCGTGACGATACCATATACAGAACACAACCTTCGAAGCGTGACGATACCATATACAGAACACAACCTTCGAAGATACCATATACAGAACACAACCTTCGAAGCGTGACGATACCATATACAGAACACAACCTTCGAAGCGTGACGATAGTTAGAGCGCGAGAACGAAACGACGACACGAAGGACACGAGTGCTTCTTGTGTCCTCGTGTGTGTCATCGTTTTGTTCTCGCGCTGTAACTATCGTCATGCCATACCAACTAGCCCAAGCTGCCACACTTCGAAGCGTGTTTTATAACTCCCTTTTGATACCACATAAAAATTGCGGGAGAAACTTAGGATTGCGCGAGTGCTTTGTAGCAGAATAGAAGCAAAGTAATCATTTTTTTGCTGTTGCTGGAAACGATCATTACGAAACACACAGCGCTCGTAAACGACCAGGAGACAAAGAACATACGACCGCGCTGAACTAAATTTTATCAGAGCGTTTTTCTCACATATATACAGCGAATAAGCCCCTCTACTAGACATGGCAAGAATAGAACAACGCTTCTCACTAGCTTGAAAACACAGATCGTGAGAACTGTAACTCTTCATTAGATAGCATGACATGTGTCAACGGCCTTAACTGCTTTTGACAAGCACGATGAAGTGGCTCATTTTTCGTACACATGTCTGAAAAAAGGAGCTCTAATAAATTGTTACAAGTGCGCACTGCCGTGTGTTCCCCTTGGTGTTCTAGTCATATAAGTGTGTTGTTTGTTTCATAATGCTTCACTGAAAAGCGCATGTTCGACGAGTTTTTTGTGTGTGTATTTCTCACAATCAGAAACAGTCTTTCCCCCGTTCTTTGGGGCGACGGTAATTAACATGAACTTGGTTGCGTACATTTGCACGGCATATTCTTTGTCCTATGTCACACGTTACTCGCGAAATCTTAAATATGACTTAGTTCTAACTCTGAGTCATTGCAAGGCGTGCGCAGGGTGTCATATTAGGATACCAGATGGCGCAACGTATATCCTGGCACACTCCTTCTCCGACAACACCTGCCCATCCACCGCTTTTGACATTCAAGGAATGAGAAAAAAAAACAAAGCTCCCCCCCCCCCCCCCGTAATTTCGAGCAACTATATTTAGTGGCACATGAGTTTCTCTGCATTTTGTTTATTAGTTGCATGTCATGCCTGCTCTCGCTAACAATTATATAACGGTATTTTTATGTTATATAACGAGTATAATCATGTTTTGATAATTCAATTAATATGAATATGCACTGTATATATATACCCCCCTCACACAATACTCCTGATGGAGCCTGTGGGTGTTTTGTGAATAAATAAATGAATAAACATGAATTTCTTTTACTTGAACATTTCACAGAACTTCCAAGGATATAGGCAGATAAACTACCCTTGAGTGCTTTCGTATAAGATCGAAACTATGCAGCTGCCATTGCACACAGTGTCACGAAACGAAACCAGCATGTACGGAACTTTCGGACATGAAACGTGACACCTAACAATGAAGACTGCTATGAGCAATCGCTCGCGATAAGCGCGTCATCGTGTCGTTGCAAAAGGCCGCTAAACGTGGCGCTGACTCTTATGTAAGTGCTCTACTCAAAATTACGCGGATTTGACACGAACTGTAAACAGTGGAAACGAAAGTACGAGCCTTAGCATCAAGTTTTCACGATTCAATCGGCGAGTACTGTAAATTTCACGCTTGCGATAGCGTACCACTTTCGCGTTTTTATCGTGAGCTCCGCCAAAGCCGCAGCCTGAATATCACCCGCTGGTCTAGCGAAAACGCCGAGTAAAGGGAAAGAACGGCCCCTTAATTAAGTACGGCTGAAAACGCGGATGCGACTGCCTAACTGCCCCACCTCAAACTCTCCGTCACCCGGACAGGAAAATAACTGAAAATAAAAGTGGTGACTAGCCTGCTCCTACGTGCAGCAATAGCAGGCATAAAACCCAATTAAAATAAATGAAAAGGGGTATAAAAGTACCCAAAGCGCAAAATTTTCTTTGAAAAACACCAACAGGGAAAAATAATGGTTGGGCACGGTAAACGGTAACGGATATGTGTCCGAAGGCGTTGGCTCAGCGAGCACACAATGGTCTCGCGTAGGCCATTTATTGAAAGAAATCAGAGAAAAGAAAAACTTGTGATGAGGCTGTAAAAATGTGCCCAGGAGAAGATGTGCCTTGTCGGTTGTGACTTGATGTGGTTTGCTTTAATTTCTTTTTTATTGTAGTTGAAGTACTCCGGTATCTGTAAAACTGAATGGTAATCGTTAGGCACAGGTAGCATAGATCTGGAAAATAAAAATATATTCCAGATCACATGCTGTAAGAGCACGAGCGAGCCGCAACATTCGGCCCGTCCGGTCATCCGCTTAGCGGCGTCGAATTCTTTTATTTGCTGAAACCAGTATAATTGTCACCACATAATGTCAGGAATAAAACTTAGTCGTAGATGAAAAAGGGAAAATGTAAATATAAAAAAGAAAAAGGGGAAAAAGTTAAACAAATTTATTATACTTTTAATTGAGTAAAATAAAGGAAAAAAGGAAAGAAAGAGGCGAAATTCCATTCTGATAATGAATGTGTACGTCTAAATTGCCCTTGATTCACTGCCTTTTTTTCTAATATGTTCAATTGTCCATTCTATGTATTTGTTATGATGAGATTTTACGAGATAGTATTCTGTAAAGTTTCGTTTTTTTTAATAATTTTGATAATACATCTTTTTTCCTACGGTTCCAATCTCAAGTATGAGAGTAGGTTTTTTGGAAGTTTGAAAGGGTGGCTGTAGTACAAACAGTAGTATACTGTATGAAGGCTTGCCATCCTTGGAGAGCGTATATGTGTGTGCAAGGCAATATCTCACTGCCTGCTTTTGTTCCCACAGAGTCTTTTTTTTTAACACTGTTAAGTGGTACATTTAGCACTTTGTATGTTGTGCGTTAAATCGCAGCAACCTAATGAAAAAGTGCATGATGTAAAATATTCATTTTATCGTCAACCGCTCCGCCGTCGCACGGATAAAGCCAGCCACGGCTTTTTGGTCCGCTTATGTTCTGTTGTATTAGAGAATAACATTGAGTTCGGCCTGTCCTAGTCGCTGGACATGGGCCGCCACGCCCAGAACGGTTGGTTGAAATTATTTATTATTGTTAGTATTTTTTAAAGACTCATAATGATGTTTGCTTTTGCTTCCTTAATATTTTCAAAAGCCGCTAAGAGTCGTGGCTGACTCTTTTTCCAGCGACTTGCCTAACTGCCCGAGTCACTCTTTCCGCTTCCGATGCTGAAGGGTCCAAGCGGTCGTAAAGTTCCTGTAAGGACCGTATGCATTCCTGGAAGCTTTTATCTTCAGCTTGTGTGCGCCTGCGAAGTCCGTCTTTCATGCGAACGACGTAGTTGGGTGGAAGGAATTCGGCAACAAATAGCTGCTCAAAAATTCGCCTTTAAAAGTTGAATGCGATAGCAAAATCCGGCCCCTAGTGCACCCTTCAACCGCTAAGTGCATACCTAATATGTTTTGTTACATACACACGCACGCACACAAACACGCACACAGAGATTGGATTAGCGCACGCTATTATCGCCGAAGGGGCTCGTTTTCCTCGTGACACCTGTCGAACAAAATGCGCTAAAGGGACCCTGAAACACCTCTGCAAGTAACCATGGAATGAATTCACTAGAAGAGCTTATTGCCTCACGAATTTCACGCCGCAAAAATTTTAAGAATCCGTCCAGTGCGAGCTGGAGTTACAAAGGTTTGTCGCATGCTGATATTGTATTATCTTTTCTCTCGTCCCGACGAAAGCGCTGGAAGCTAAGCAGGGAGGGGTGGCAGGGCGAAAAAACTACCACGCCTCGTGACCTTGAGTACTTTTTCTTCGAACGCGCGGCTTTTTCAGTGTGATCGCGCGCGCACGCCTGGACAAGTAGCGTCCTCCCGCGGCTATCTCGGTAACTAGATTTTTCGGTCACAGACGCACAGACGATTTTTCGCTCACAACCAACGGGGCCGACGCCGGCGGCGGGTTTTCTGCGACACGAGCGCTTTAACCCTATCGCGTTAAAATGGGACCAACTGTCGAAAGACTGGCGACGACGCCAACGTTCGGCAGAGCCAGACAGGGCGAGGGGCAGAACGCGTATAGCAGAAGGGTCTCATTGGTGAGGGATTGCGCGTCGCGATAATTTTGTAACTCTTGCAAACACTCGACGACCGACTTCCTGTCCCTGTGTTCCTCGTATAGGCACCCGGCGATGCAGTTTAAGAGATCTGATGGTAGCGCCAAAACACGCAGCAAAACCGAGTCTTCCAATACGTAGCCACGGCCGGACTCGACTCCTTCTCCGGCGCTCCCCTTGTGTGTGTGCGGAAGGAGCGTCGAGTCCGGCCGTGGCGTAGCCTAGCGAGTAGACGCAGCAAAACCGAACTTGCACGTGCATATCATTTTCGTTTTTAGTTGTGAGCAAGGGGGTCACAGCTGATTATGTAAGCGCCCAGGAAGCGTTCTTTGAAAACGTGCCAAAAAGGGCACTGACACTTCAGCGTGTCATTGTGTTGTGCGAGCGTTTCATTTTCTTAGTATCCCTGGCGGTTGGTACCAACAATGCGGAGGCGGCCAAAAAACTCCCAAGCATTTCCCCGAGGGTGAACATGGTTAAGTGCGAATACACGGGGTGATGCTATGAGGGGTATTTATTAATTCGCACTATTATATTTATTAATCACACTATGGTGCCTTTATGGTGTAATGGTTCCTGGGAATCGCAATTTGATCACACGGGGGAGTTTACGTTAACTCACTGGCGAATGCCAACGGATTTTAACTTTACTCCCCCTCACGACCCGCTCTCGACGAGAGACTGAGAGAGAAGGCGGGCGCGCGATAGAGAGGGGTGCGCGCGCAGTTGCAGTGAGCGAGGAGAGCGGAGGAGCGAGCGAAGGGGGAGGGGGTATAAGGCGCGTTACTGACACCGATATCAGCGTCGCGTCCGTGGCTTATTCGGTAGAGCGGCGCGCTGCGGTCCGCCAAGTCCTCTTTCTTTTAAAGAGAGAGAAGACTGCGGACGCCGCCGACGGCGGTGGATGGTTTGGGGTCGCTTATAAAGTGTTATTCACACTTAAAAAAGCTTCGTCGCACCCTCTGGTCTACCCTTATTATCATGAATTCAAACCAACTAGCCCAAATCGCCATTCTTCTTCTCTGGTCCACTGTCGGGTGCCTATGTAAGCACGGCTAGCGGTAGGCGGAAATTGTCGTTTGGCGTAGCCTGGCGTTCTTACAGCGCGGTCAGCTGCTCGCCGATACGAGACGCCATCTTGCGCGGGCACGTCCTTTTCCGCCTTGTCGGGCATTATTCAGACTTCATAGGTCCATAGGGTTTTCAATTTCACGAGCTGTTTTGTAGCGGATTGCAAGAGCACGAGAATGCGCGAGGAATAATGTGTTTGAGTAGGGCCGACTGGACGGGCGCCTTATGCGTGCGATTCTCGGGGTACGAAAACGAACTGCAACGAAAGGAATGAAAACTCAGCAGAAAACGTTGGAAAGAACGAAAGGAAGGTCAACGACATACGAAAACCACATTGAGCGCCAGATGAAGGCCCCGCCACCGCTCAAGGGAGTCATTCAGCCAAAATTCGCAGTACGACAGTCATAGCGCGAGAACAGAACGACGACATAGCGACAAGAAGGACACGACACTTTGACGTCGTTCTGTTCTCGCGCTATAATTATCGTAAAGTCATACCAACTAGCCCAAACTGCCACAATTCTATAAAATTCGCAGGACACGAGCCAGCAACGCTATGAACAAGAACCACCGTTAGTTTACGGCTCGAAAGAATAACAACCAGCCTTTCGGACGAGCACAACAGAGCACTAGCGTACACAGGAGGACCAAAAACCCGTAACGAACAAACCCCGCAGACAGGTGGTGAATGGAACGTACAGCACGGAACATCACGGCCGGAAAGCCAGTGCGAAACTTAACAGAAGGAAAGCAAACTCACACGAAACACGCCGTAGAATATGACCCATCACGTCGCTTTAGTGGACGCCCAAGCCCGCGTGGCAGCAGCTCCGTAGTACACACGGAGGAAAAACCCATCGCGCCTATAGCACGACCGGCACCGTATCCCATCACTCTCATGCCACCGAAAAGCCCCCAGGGCTCGTCTTCACAGCTTCCTGATCCCCTGCCGCTTTTCCACCCACTACGGCTTTTTCAGACGCTGACGCTCATTCCGCGCATGTGCCCTCCTCGCCCTCCTTCCACCGCGCGTGCTGCAGATAAGGGCCCATCGGCCCGACAAATTTAGAACGTTTTCAACTACTAACTATTGGCTCAAGCGCACAATCATAGGAGCAAAAGTATCGAGAGCTTGTGAAGATACATACATTGCACGCCGAAACGTTGTACTGACAGTGTTATGCATATAGAAAAAAAAAATGTTGGACGATTTAGAGTACGCTGTACTCTACTATAGCTGCGATAACAGCAGTAATAACAACTAGCGGTCCTGTGTTTACAAAAAAAAATGTTTAACGATTTCGAGTACTTCGTACTCAACTATGGAAGAGCACTGAGCCGTCCCGCTAAAAGCAAGGAGCTAAGCGTCCCGCGGTCCTAAAAAAAGTCACCATCCGTGTTCGGAACGCTGTAAACCGGTTCGCATCCGTAAGGGTGCTGTGCTTGTCTATAACTAACCCTCTAGAATACGGATGTTTTGACAAACCAAAACAAGCATCTCATGGGTGTTTTGATGTTTCAAAACACCCATTACATGGATGTTTAGTTTGTCAGAACACCCCTATTGTAGGGTGTTATAGAAAAGGCAAAAACCATTAAAGGCGTCATCTGGTTTACAGCGAACCACGGAGTTTCTCATAAGTACAGTAGAGGGAACAATGGCGTTAGTGTCCATGGGAGCTGCTACGCACGGATCTTCAGCGAGCATGTGAACGATGAGTAGCATACAAATTTGACCAATCTTAGTACTTCCGGCTTCGTTTGTCTTCGCGTGCCTTTGTCACGAAACGACAATCGGCCAATGTTCAGCATTTGCACTTCACTCTTTTAGGCTGATCGATTCAAATCAGATTACCAATTTCAAAATGATTTGTTACTTTATAAGAAATAAATCCGAAGCACAGCAATAAAAAAATGCCACAAAGTGAGTTCGAAGCCCGGAAGTACAAAGAATAGGCGAATTCGTGTACCACCCATCATTCTCATGGCGCCCGAACGATTGCAGCGCCAAAGTCCCCTCTATAGTAAATTTTAGGGAACTATGTTGGGAACAGTGCACTATATAGCTACTAGACCGATGTGCACACAAGAAATTAAACGCGTAATCACATGCACCTAACACGGCGGATGGATGAAGTCATGTGAACACGGGCGCGATGATCGTCCATTGTTGCAGTGTCCGATAGGCATTGTATAGGCGTACCTTAACGGCATCGGTGGAGACGCCGATCTTGTCGATGATGGCCATGAGCGCGACGTCCGCTTTATTATCCGCCGGTTTTTCTTCAACCTGTAGAATGACCAAGTAAAATTGACATTGTTCCGCGAGAACTACGGCGCTAGATTTATTGACCGCACTTAGTGGTACGTCTTAGAGCAAGCAAGCACTCAAAGGATCGCGTTGCAGCCTAGCATGGGACTGTAGTCTGTATGATTTCTGCATTTTGATCAGGCTCGTAGACAGAATATATTTTTTTCAGTGGTGGTAGGGAAGGGGGGGGGGGGGGCACTTGGTGAAGTCCTCGAAAAGCACCTATTTTGATAGTCTGACCATGGCATTGTCTTACATCCAAATTTCAAGCTCCTTGAAATACGGATTGATTGATTGATGGCTGAGTTATTTATTTATTTATTTATTTATTTATTTATTTATTTATTTATTTATTTTGTGAGGACGTTTATTAGCCGTTAAAGACAGCGACGAGACAGCGTGAAGAACCGTCCAGCGATCGGCACAGCAACGAACCGAAGCACGAGCAGAGAGAGCCGGGCGTTGGCGATGCTGCTCGCTGCAGGGACATCTTCTTCTTCACAATCGCCCCCACTAAAAAAGGAGCCATCCTGGCGACTTAAGAAGTTTCAGGCAAAGGCTCATGGTACGGTTTCAGTCGGGAAACATGGACGATGTCACGTGCACGCCGGCGCATGTCGTCCGATCGGGAAACTGGTTCAATTAGGAAATTAACCGGAGAGGTTTTCTCCAAAACGGTGTAAGGCCCCTCGTACCGGGGGACAAGTTTCGAGGAGAGTCCCGGTGTTCGGTATGGGATGGCAAGCTACACAAGAGACCCTGGGGCATAGCTGGGATCCGGAAGAGAGGTGCTACGGGTTTCTTTCTGGCGTTGTTGCTCTTCCGAGGTGAACGCACGGGCGAGCTGGCGGCACTCCTCGGCTTGTCTAGCAGCATCGGAGATAGGTGGACACGCGGAAGCATCAGGACGGTAAGGAAGTAGGGTATCAATTGTATGGGAAGGCTCACGTCCGTAAAGAAGAAAGAAAGGTGAGAATCCCGTGGTGGTTTGTATTGTGGTGTTATATGCGAACGTGACGTATGGGAGAACACGGTCCCAGTTGCTATGATCAGATGCCACGTACATTGAGAGCATATCACCTAGCGTGCGGTTGAATCGTTCCGTTAGTCCGTTAGTCTGCGGGTGGTATGCTGTCGTTTTCAGATGAATGACGTGGCATTCCGAAAGCAGAGTTTCGACGACCTCGGAAAGGAAAGCGCGGCCTCTGTCACTAAGGAGCTCTCGAGGTGCACCATGTCGAAGGATAAAGCGTTGCAAAATGAAAGAGGCGACATCCTGAGCTGTAGCGCTCGGCAAAGCGGCTGTTTCAGCGTAGCGTGTCAGGTGGTCAACCGCCACTATAATCCACCGATTGCCATCTGGTGTCAATGGAAGGGGACCGTAGAGGTCAACGCCGACGCGATCAAATGGCTTGGTAGGGTATGGAAGTGGCTGCAATGCGCCAGTCGCACGTGGCAGTGTTGATTTACGTCGCTGGCAGTCAGGACAGCACTGCACGAATTTACGTACAAAATTGTACATGCCGCGCCAGTAGTAGCGATGGCGAAGGCGTTCATATGTTTTGAACACTGCAGCGTGGCCACATTGCGGATCGTCGTGAAGGGAGGCGCATACTTGCGATCGTAAAGTGCGTGGAATGACCAGACACCACCGGCGGCCATCGGGAGCGTAGTTGCGTCGATGAAGAAGTTGATCGCGGATGGCGAAATGGAAAGCTTGACGTCGGAGGGATCGAGATACTGGAAGGTTGGGCGTGCCAGATAAATATTCGATAAGAGAGGCGATCCACGGGTCACGACATTGTTCGGTGGCAATCGAGTCGAGATTTAGCGATGACAAGGTCTGGAGGCAAGTGTTTCCGCACGCCTGATCTGGTGGTAAAGGTGAGCGGGACAGGGCATGAGCGTCAGAGTGTTTGCGTCCGCAGCGGTATACGACGCGAATGTCGTACTCCTGGATGCGGAGTGCCCATCGCGCAAGGCGGCCAGAAGGGTCTTTCAACGTGGAGAGCCAGCAAAGCGCGTGGTGATCAGTTACTAGATCGAACAAAGCGCCGGAAATAGGAGCATAGGCCTACAAAACTGCGAAGTTCTTTCATGGTCGTCGGCTTGGAATTCTGCGACTGCTCGAAGTTTTGCTGGGTCTGGTAATACGCCATGCTTGGACACGATGTGGCCTAGGATGACGAGCTCGCGTGCAGCGAAGCGGCATTTTTTCAGGTTAAGCTGCAGACCAGCGTTGGTCAGACAACTCAAAACGTGCCTGAGGCGAAGGAGGTGCGTAGGAAAGTCATGGGAGAAAACCACGACATCGTCGAGGTAACAGAGGCACATATTCCATTTGAAGCCACGTAGCGTATTATCCATAAGACGTTCAAACGTGGCAGGCGCGTTACAAAGCCCAAAGGGCATGACGTTAAATTCATATAGTCCGTCTGGTGTAATAAATGCCGTTTTTTGGCGATCGGCTTCAGCCATTGGAACTTGCCAGTAGCCAGACAGCAAATCTAGCGACGAGAAAAATTCCGCTCCGTGAAGGGTGTCAATGGCATCATCAATGCGCGGCAAAGGATAGACGTCCTTGCTGGTTATCTTATTCAAACGACGATAGTCCACGCAAAATCGGATAGATCCGTCTTTCTTACGCACCAGGACGACGGGAGACGCCCAGGGACTGTGAGATGGTCGAATGACGTCTCTACGAAGCATATCTTCGACTTGATCGTTGATGACGCGGCGCTCTTCAGCGGAGACACGGTATGGTCTTTGACGCAGTGGCTGGTGTAGGCCGGTGTCAACATGATGTTTGACTTGTGATGTGCGGCCCAGTTGAGGTTGCGACACATCGAACGAACTCCTGAACTCATGCAGAAGATCCAGCAGGTCGGCATGTTCAGTGGAAGTGAGAGTGTCGGCGATGGCGCTGGAAAACGTATCATTGGACGACTCCCCGAGTGCCGACAGTGCTTTTGGGTGGTCGCAGTAGTCGTCCGGGACATAAAACAAAAACGAAGGGTCGAGATCCTGCACGCGGCCGAGACATTCCCCCGCAAGCAATGTGACAGGTGTGGAAAGCGGATTGCTTACGAACATGTTGCTTCTTCCGGCGGCAAGGTCAATTGTTGCGAAAGGCAGCGGCAAAGCTCGACGACATTTGAAGATATCGGAAGGCATAAAAAGAACTGTAGCCGTCAGTGTAGGCGTTGCATGATACGGGAACAAGGGCGAAATTTCCAGGCGGAATATCGGTATCTTCATGAACGAGCAACTTCGGCGGCTGATGAGGAGCGTCCAGTAATGGGACATCACACAAGGGTGAAAACTCAACTTCGGCGCGTGCGCAGTCTATGACGGCCTTATGGCGGGATAGGAAGTCCCACCCGAGGATGACGTCATGCGAACAGACAGATAGAACAATCCACGATGTAAAGAATGCCTTCAATGGATACTCATGCAGTGCAGGCTGCGAGAGGCGTTATTTGCTGTGCGCTTGTGGTGTGAAGCGACAGTCCCGAAAGCGGCGTCGTTACTTTGCATAATAAATGGCAGAGATTAGCGGCAATAACAGAAACAGCGGCGCCAGTGTCGACAAGGGCGAAAGTACAATAACCTTCAACAGTTACTGCGACCACGTTAGCAGGAGAGGAGCGAGGGCTTAGACAGTTCGAAAACGGCGCAGTTCTTGCCTCTTGAACTGCGTTGCTTAGTTTTCCTGGTCGGAGGGTCCGGGCCGGCGACGCATGGGGGAGGGCGATCGCCGACGAGGAGAGGGTGCGCGTTGCGGCTGGAAGTCAAGGTGGTCAGTAGGCGCATAGCGAGGTGGCGAGACCGGCCCGTATTGGACGAACGGTTGGTTGCCGGGATGCGACGACCGGGCATAGTTGCCGAACGTCTGAGGTAGACGGCGGCAGTAGCGAGCAACGTGTCCGGGAGTGAAGCAAGCGTAGCAAATCGGTCGGTTATCGGGCGTCCTCCAGGGATTGGCGACTGGTGCTGCCGCCCAAGGTGCAGTATAAGCAGCCGGGTGTGCGGGCTGTGAGCGCGTGGTGTAGGGTGCTTGCGGGAGCCTACGTACAGCGTCTGTATATGTGAGCGGCGCGGCTACGGGCTGCATCTTTTTCGAAACGGCGACAGGAGGAGCCACAGGCTGCGTTGCATAGATTAGGGGCGCGGCCACAGGCTGAACGGCTGGCGGATAGGCGACAGGAGCGCCAACCGGCTGTGCGACACCCGGGCAGTGACCACGGCTAGATAGAGGTGGCTCGTAGTGCGCAAGAGGAACAGCTTGTGCAACCTCTTCCGATATAGCAGTGCGAAGTGGGGCAGGTAGACGGGTGGTGGTCTCGTGAGTAAAGGGCACTAGGGAAAGTTGGCGGGCGACTTCCTCACGGACGAAGGCTCGGACTTGCTGAAGCAATGGTGAAATGTCGAGTATGGAGTCGAAACTGGACAGCGACTCACCACCAGGCTGAGGCTGCCTAGTCAGAGTGCGTTGCTTCTTCAACTCGTCGTAGCTCTGACACAAGCTGACGACTTCAGAAACTGTGCTTGGATTCCTTGCCAAGAGCATTTGAAATGCGCCGTCGTCGATGCCCTTCAGGATGTTTTTGACCTTGTCAGATTCGGGCATGGTGTCATTCACACGTCGACAAAGGTCGACGACGTCCTCAATATAGCTGGTAAAGGTCTCGCCAGTCTGCTGAGAGCGGACGCGCAAGCGCTGTTCTGCCCTCTGCTTGCGGACAGCCGGCCGACCGAACACTTCAGCACATGACGTCTTGAAGACGCTCCATGTGGGGATGTTGTGTTGGAGGTTATTAAACCACAATTCGCCGACGCCAGTGAGATAAAATACCACGTGGCCCAGCTTGTCGGCTTCATCCCACTTATTGTTGGCGCTCACCAGTTCGTAGTGCTCGAGCCAGTCTTCGACGTCGGTCCCATCCGCGCCGCTGAAGACCTTCGGCTCCCGTAGCGTAGGATGGCCAGGGCAGTTGAACTGGAGCGAAGGCGTCGATGTAGTGGCGTTGGCAGTCATGACAGGTGGTAGCGTGCGGCTTCGCAGCTCCAGGGTGTAGCAACGGGGATTAACAGCACCTTCCACCAAATGTGAGGAGGTTTATTAGCCATTATAGACAGCGACGAGACAGCGTGAAGAACCGTCCAGCGATCGGCACAGCAACGAACCAAAGCACGAGCAGAGAGAGCCGGGCGTTGGCGATACTGCTCGCTGCAGGCACATCTTCTTCTTCACAATTTATTTATTTATTTATTTATTTATTGATATATGAGGTTTAACGTCCCCAAACCACCATATGATCATGCGAGACGCCGTAGTGGAGGGCTCCGGAAAGTTCAACCACCTGGGGTTCTTTAACTTGCACCCAAATCTGAGCACACGGGCCTCCCTCTCCCTTGGCATACGGAAACACGTCATCCCGAGTTCCATGGAATTGCACTAATGAGAATTATTTACGAATTAGGGGCGATCTCCTCCCCCCCCCCCCCCCGACTCTGTCAGCACCCCCCTTTCTATTCAGTGCTCGCAGTCCACCTCCTATCACCAATCAGGACAAATGAGTGAAACTAACGAAACCACTGTGAACACACAGTATTTATGCAGCGAAGGGTTTTGTTCTGCTATTAAAAACAATTCATGACCACGCCCCCCTCTCCGGTGTTACTTCAGGCAACCGCCCCCCCCCCCCCCCCCTATAAAATGAGTGACTGGATCCGCCCCTGGTCCCAGTCATCCAAAAATGCGGAGGGGTAGCAAAATGAGCCTCATACAATACATTCCCTTAATACACGGAAGGGGGTAGGCGGGATGCTCCTCCCCCCCCCCCCCCCCCCCTGACAAGAAACCCCGCTCACGTCTTCAGTGTTGCCAAAAGTGATCACCTAGGAATAATGCAACTATACATCTATTTGCTTAGATAGGGAGCAACCTAGAGGTCCGGTCTATCGTAGGGTGTGAATATAGACGCTTTTAGCGGACCGTATTTCGTTCGCCTCCCGCTCCGCTCGGCCAGTAGGTGGTTGCTCCAGTACGCATGCGCAAGACGGCCAGGCGCTCAGCGTGTGAACGGACCGCCGCCGTGGCCCTGGACTGAGGCGAGAGAGGCATCACGGGAGGCGAGCAGAAACATCCAAAATGCCATATGCCTCGGAAAACATATATGCCTCGGAAAACATATATGTTTTCCGAGGCACAACCGACCTATATGTCAGTTGTGCACAACCAACCTATAGGTCGGTTGTTCGGCCAACACGCAAGACGCCGACGGCACTTCAGGTAACACGAGAACCTGCACCTTCTCCGAGAGGTATAATCGCAGCCAATCGCTTTGGAAATGCGCGCGTGTAGGTGACGTCCTACGCAGCGACACATCGAGAGTTGACACTTCGGGGCATAAAGGAGCGTCTCCAACTTCTGTTTTGGCACTTTCGTCAAAAAAAGACTGCACATTTCACCTTCGCTAGTAAGCAGTTTCGTGCATAGAACAGTAAAAACTTCGTTTTTAACAGCCGCAACATTCAGAAACGCTCTTTCGTTTCACTTGCCACGAGGCAGCGCGTTAGAAACGCGTTTGTGCTGCCTCGAAGGCTTAGATTGTGGTACCGCTCCAAGTCGAGCTGACAAAAAAAAAATGTAAATGCTCATACGTCAAGCACCCCCATAACGCCAAAGAAAATCTATTCACGATGTTTTAAAACAAAGTTTGCTTTCTTGCTGCAAGATAAGAACAATTTTGATTTTTAACATACTTTTGGCTTTCATGCGCCGGTAACGTCGCGATTGTCTTGACCGAAAGCCCCTTGGCTAAAGCGAACGACCGAGCATTACGCTCCGTCTACGTTGGACGTACGGACGCACGGACAGACAGACAAACATACGAACGGACGCGCGCACGACGGACGCACAGATAAACACACGTACTGATGGACTCACGCACGGGCGGATGGATTGACGGACCCTTCGCCCCAGTCATCGCCATTCATTCCGTGCATGCTGTGAACTTTTTTTTTAATTCCCGTCACCGTATAGCAGCGCGTCCTCCAAATAATTGAGTTTCAATTAAGGTTCTCTGTTTCTCAGGCCAAACAGCCTCGTTACACGTTTCAATGCAGAGCAAGTTCAATTTCAATGCGTACATTTAGAAAAACAAAACGTTTTCAGGGATACGTGTGCCACAATAAGTGCTGCTGAAGGGAAAGGGCAGTCTGTGAACGCTGTGGCTACAGTGGCAAAATGGTAGGCGTTTTCTGCAGTGGCACGTCTTTGAACAGGTCTCATAAAGTGTGAGGCCCACGGGACGGCTTCCTGTTCTCTCATAGTAGAGTACCTCGTTGTCTAAATCGTTACGCACTTTTTTCTAAACATTTACGTAGCTGATGCTCGCCAGCTGCGAGTTGTCCATTACAGTTGCAGGGACGGCTTTATGCTCTCCCGTAGTAGAACATCAAGTACTGATGATGATGATGATTGATATGTAAGTTTGAACGTCCCAACACCAGCATATGATAATGAGAGACGCCGTAGTGGAGCGCTCCGGAAATTTCGACCACCTGCAGGTGGTCGAACCCCGCGGGGTTCTTTAACGTGCACCCAAATCTGAGTACACGGGCCTACAGCATTTCCGCCTCCATCGGAAATGCAGCCGCCGCCGCCGGGATTCGATCCCGTGACCTGCGGGTCAGTAGCCGAGTACCTTAGTCACTAGACCACCGCGGCGGGGCGAGTACCAAGTACTCTCAATCATTGAGCTTTTTTCTTTTCTAAACAAAGCATGATGCACTGTCGTTAAACACTTGATTCGGCCTTCCAGGCGTCGTAGTGAAATCATGCACGGCGTAATTTTTGTAAACACGTGGTCATTTAGGTGTGAGGGCACCGGGATGGCTGTCAGCGCTCCCGTAGTAATCAAGTACTCTAAATAATTAACTATTTTTCTACTAAACACCTCAATCGTTTTGCACATTGTATATGGAACAGCCGACTTCTCCCTATAACGAACTAGAGCTATACACTTTTCCCCACTGATTGCGCAATAACTGGTCGCCATATTCTTTAACCTAAACTCTCTGGCATTTTTGCATTGGTAGGAATTTCGTATACTCTATATCGTGTCTTGTGTTACCAAGGCAACACAAGTGATCGTTAAGGGCACAGTGGCCACGTATCGGATAGCATTGATCTCTATTTAGTGTTAGACTTTTGCGATCGCATCGGCTACCCTAAATCGATTCCATTTTTTTTTTTCTAGTAGAAGCACATTCGCTTCATTCTGGAACAAACATACTTGTCTCACTTCGTCAGAAGTTAATATAGCACAGTAAATTGATTTCTTAGAAACGCAGCCTTGCGTGATTTCCGTTTTGTACACATTCCCTTAAAACCGCAACGAGCTCGGCTCAATCCTGCGTAATTTTAAAACTAGTTCTTGTTACAGTCAGAACGTCGGAACGTCTCAGTACATAAACGTTACATTTGTTTTTTCTTTGCTTCACTAACTTGTTGAATAATAGTACGTTTGTCCCTTTCACATCTCACTAATCGCAGATCGATAGCTTCATAATGACTTTTTAAAACAATTTACTACAATCTGAAACTTAAAAGAAAGATTACTAGCAAGACCACAATACATATCAGCACAAATTGATCACCGCAATAAGGTTGTCATTCCACCTTATCACACAGAACGTTTAGGTAACTCACTGGTATCCAGAACTTGTGTCGTTTGGAACCACTTACCCCATGGGATCGCAAGTAATATGATCTGGGATTTTACGTTTCAAAAACCACGACATGATTATGGGAGCGCCGTATAGTGAAGGGCTCCAGAAACTTCGTCCATGTGGTGTTCTTCAGTGTGCAACGACCTCGCTGATCACACGGGCCTCTACTAATTCGCATTTATTTAAATGCGACCGCCGCCGCCGAACACCATAAGCACTGATCCACTTCAGCGAACCTACGACATGGCTCATATATTATATAGTAACCTATTTCATAAAAAAAAGCTGATTCCCGAAAGGCGCATATTTACTTGTTACTACATAACGTTTTCTCTTAGCGACTCAAAATAGTTAGCTCAAATTATCACCTCCGCAATATTGAATTGCCTTGCTGTGTGTTTACACCTTTATCTCGTTTCGTTTTGCTATTTATATTGTATTCTTCATGTAAGCAAGCCCACTCACCTCTATAATTCCTTCTGATCATGAGAGGGCAATAAATAAATAAATAAATAAATAAATAAATAAATAAATAAATAAATAAATAAATAAATAAATAAATAATCTTTTCTGTTAAGTGGTAACTCGCCGTAAGTGCGAAAGTTGCACGAGTCTGCCCAACTGCGGTGGCGCCTTCGGCTATAGACGCAAAGACATACCTGGAATAGGACAGCCATGACGAGCACATTGCCGGGCTCAGCGAGGGCCTCGGCGATGCTTCCTTTACCTTCCCTGGCGTGGACAAAGTGGACCTGCGAGGGAAGCGGCGAGGAAGAGTGTCATGGGCGCGCTTCCCGTGCATGCACTGCTGCCACCGAAGCTCGCACTTCGCCAACGTGTGAACTAATGAGGTTTCATTCTCACCGTTATAGCGCGACAGTTAGCACGATAGTTTGGGACTGGCGCTCAGGAAACGACTGAACGCGACCCATTTCTCACAGTCTTCCCGTCACCGAGCGAAATGCGTCGCGGTAGAGATGATGATGAAGATTAACAACGATAACAATAAATATTGGCGGGGATTCACGCCCTCAAAACACCGACATGCTTATGGGAGATGCCGCAGTTCGACCCAATTTTTGTTTATAATTTGTTTCATGGGGTCCGAGGGTCCCGTTGCAGTCGTGTACTTTGGGACCCTCGTCTGTATATTTTACTCCCTGTAACATCCTTTTATGACATGATAATAAACTGATTGATTGATTTGTTGATTGATTCTTAACTGATAGCTTATCACAAACAAGCAGGCGAAACATCAGCGCATTTGTTCCAACACTTTATTTGTAAGGACTATTTCTATGAACACGGGAGCGGTTCGAGAGTATGACCGCAGTGTTATCACACACTGTAGTCACGCTCTCGGCTTATACGTTACGTCACGCGCTATAGCAATGTCATACGAGCCGTGACCGAACTAGTTGCCTGCTTTGCAAGCATCATCTGTAATCAAGTGCACGACTTTGTTGTCTGATCAGCTGCGCATACAACGGAGCTATTTCGGCTTTCTTCCGCTCGGCGTTGTGACACGAACGATGTGCAGCGGTCGAAACGAAGGTATAGAAGGCGACGGCTCCACTCCATGAGGTGTACGTGACGTCACACACGTCGTGGCAAAATGCTGGTCACCGGCAGTGGGTGAAGTTTGCAGCCGGTGACTTGTATATAGGGCTCACTTTGCAATGAAATATTCCATCACAGTCAAGTTTTGCTACACGTAGCGAACAATAAACCCTCTATTTTTCGCTGAAAACCACAATTTTGTGGGTGACCATCCTCCGAAATCTTAGGCACACGGGCCTCAAACATATTCGCCTCCATTGAAACACGGCCGCTGGGACTCAACCGTAGTCAAACGCCATAACAAGTATACATCCACGACAAGGGCTTCACGATAGTGATGACGTTCACACATCACCTCGTTCAATCATCGCTTCGAAAAAGAAGTCCAAAATATGTCCTCTGTACGTCCGATAACTTTGCAACTGCAAGTCACGCACCAAAAATTAAACAAAAAGGGGGGGGGGGAGCGAGAGAGAGAGAGCAGCGAGCGACTAAGCTATAACACTTGCTCATCAACAACGCAGAACAACGATTCGCATCGAACTTGGCCGCTCCACCACTGCGAGCCGGAAGTGCGAATGTGCCATACGCCTCGGTGGAGCAGCTGTCGTGGCACCCGGCTGCTGACCTCGAGGTCAGGGGTTTGATCCCGGCCATGGCGGTCCAATTCGATGGCGGCAGGTTAATGAACACGATATGGTCGAAATTAGCGAAACCCTTCACCACGGCCTCTCTTATAACTGGCTCGTAGCTTTGGGCGCATAAAACCCCCGCGAACTCTGGAAACGATCTCGAAATGTCACGCACGTATGCTGCCTGATCGACGCAGGAGGAGATCGATTATCTTTCTTTGCTACTCCCTTAACGAGAATGAACTAATAAATTGCAGCCAGTGGCAGTATTGGGGACTTGGTTTTGCAGTGCTTACGATATAAATGGAAAAAAAATGAGATCAGATATCCATCTGATCTCATTTTTTTCGAAATGTCAATTAAAAAAATTCCGCCATATCCACGAAGTGAATGATGATGAGTGGGCGAAGCTCCGGAGGTAAACCTGGTAAACCATGAATCCTCTGTACATTTTGCCCACTCGATTTTATTACATCGCTCCCCCAAATATAATGACGGTGGCTCAGGCTGAGGGGCCGACATCTCTCCGACGCGACATCTAGAAAGCTTACTAAAACGAACTAATCACAAACTCGCCACCAGCGAGAACCAAACCGAATATATATTATATCTATATATATATATATATATATATATATAAGGGAAAGAAGTGTATTACCTAAGGGCTCGTTTTTTTCCGTGTTTTAACACAATATTAATCAGATCTAACAGACAGTAATGCCACGGAATGTACAGGGGAAGTTATTAGAACCAAGGAATGTAAATAAGAAGAAAGAAAAGTGGCTGCAAAAATAACCAGCCTTTCGTGCTCACGCGCTGGTTCTTTTTTCATCCACTTTCTTTCTTCTTATCACATTCCATTGGTTCTAATAACTCCCACTGTACATTCCTTGGCGTTACTGTCTGTCTGCTAGATCTCATATATATATATATAATATATATATATATATATATATATATATATATATATATATATATATATATATATATATAGATATATATATTATATATTATATATATATTATTATATATATATATATATATATATATATGTATTATATTATATAATAATATCGGAAACCCTGACGAATACCCAGTCCCACGCCGAAACCGTTGGGAATAAAATTAAAGCAACCACTAAGTTGTCTCTCTTTTCTTTGATTGACTGATTTGTGGGGTTTATTGTCCCTAAGTCACCACATGATTATGAGAGACACCGTAGTGGAGGGCTCCGGAAATTTCGACCACCTGGGGTTCTTTAACGTGCATCCAAATCTGAGCACGCGGGCCTACAACATGTCCGCCTCCATCGGAAATGCAGCCGCCACAGCCGGGATTTGATCCCGCGACCTGCGGTTCAGCAGCCGAGTACCTTATAGCCACTTGAACACCGCGGCGGGGCCGGTCTCTTTTTTCCCAATCCCAACTACGTTTGGCCCATTGGAAAAACTTGATATATATATATATATATAATATATATATATATATATATATATATATATATCTATATATATATATATTATATATATATATATATATATATATATATAAAGGGAAGAAGTGTAGAAGTGTATACCTAAGAACTCGTTTTTCGTGTTTTGACACCATATTAATGAGATCTAACAGACAGTAATGCCAAGGAATAACTTCCCCTGTACATTCCTTGGCGTTACTGTCGGTCTGTTAGATCTCATATATTATATATATATATAATATATATATATATATATATCTATATTAGATATATATATATATATATATATATATATATATATATATATAATATATATATGCGCGCAGAAAGCCTATACGCTATAACCATTTGTATACCTCCATGGGAAAGTTGCGCCCGGCTGCGTCGATCTTGTGCTCGGCTCCCTGGTTATCGTTCGAGCCGATGTGGAAGTGGAACTGCTGGAGCACGAATTTGCCTTCGCCGAGCACACTCTCGCCTTCCACGGTCGGAACCGGGCCTGGTTCCTTGATGACAACCATGACTGCGGTTTCGAAGCGAAGCAAGACACGTGGTCACACTTACGAAAATCGGATACTTTTTTACTGTACGTTTCAGTCGTGCCACGGCCGAAACGTCGAGTAAAAACGTATCCAATTTTCGTAAGTATGCTCCTTTATTTCATGAGTATATGTGCACCGGACACACAACTTCTTTTTTGATATATATATATATATATATATATATATATATATATATATATATATATATATATATATATATATATATATATATATATATATATATATATATATATATATATAATGCTAGTATAAAGCAGTTAGCTTAAAACGGCACTCCAAAATGCAAAAATGTACAGTGATTTTTTGGTTCGTTCAGAAAAAGTGGTGAATGATTTAGAGTAATTGCTACTTTACTATGGGAGAGAATAAAGCTGTCCCCAGCAGTTTGATACGTCGACAGTAAAAATGCACAGATTCTTCGGTTTGTTTGCACGCACCGGCACTACACCCATAGAGAAATAAAGAAAAATGAAGAGTGGACACTCCCGTAGACCCCAGCGGCCCAATCGACCCTAGCACACCTGGTGGTTGGTGAGAGCAAGTGGCGTGCGCTTCCTGTTTCGGTTTCACTGGCGCAAATTTTGAATTTTTATTTTTATTTTTTATTTTTATTTCGATTAAGTTATAATAAAGAGAGATGCAGGTAGTGATAATTCACTACGATTTTATTCATCGCGCTTGTTCTTGTTCTTTTGTTCACTTGTTGATCACTTGTTCTTTTGGAACAAGTGATCAATGTATATATCCGTCAAAAAGACAGAGTATCCGCAATGTTTTATTCAAAGGCAAGGTAGAGTCTGAGAATATAAAAAGCACAATATAACAAAGGTAGACAACAAATGCATCTCGCCTTACAAATAAATTCTAACAAATATTGTAACAAATACAGAGAGAACACAGACAACGCACACATCGCTAGAGTTGGCAGAAGCCGAGAAGCTGGTAAAGTATGACACACCGGGCCCGTGGGTAAGTAAGGATCTATAGCAAAAAACACAGCGCACAATGCTGATGAAGAAGGAAGAAGTGACATATACACAGCAATGAAGTCGCGAATCACGCCTGGGGTTAACCGAAATAATGCATAGAAAAAAAGAGCGCACAGAAACCACACGACACAATATAGCAGAAAGGCAAAGCTGCAGTGTGCTGGCTGTGCTTAAGAACAGCTAGCCCAAAATGAAAAAAAAAGCAGACTTGATGCCTGCTTGTCCTCAGAAAGGTAGGGCTTTGCAGCTTGCTCACTACGTGAAAGACAAACTTTATGCTACAACACTGGCAGGTGTTGTGGCTCTTCTTATTATCAAAAACTTAAGATCCCAAGTGATTTGCGTCTCGGTGTTGTTGTGACGCTTGCGAGCTAAAATAGATTGTAGTCATCACTTATCCAGAATTGTGGACCTTAATTGGTGTTACGAGAGCGGTATTACAGGGCTAATAAATAGCAGAAGGAAACCACTTTGGCTCATTATTTTTCACAAAGGCTCTAAATCGTACGTTATCATTCACAAGCTATATAAAAATAAAATGGCAGCGTCCGCAGCCCCATCAAACGCTACAAGTTTGGGTATTCTTTTGAAAAGTTTGATGGGCGAGATGAGGAGGTTGATGAGAAGCTAAAATACAAAAAGCGTGATAACGTGAACTGTGCCCACTTCATACTGTGTTCCTTACCCGCTCAAAGACATTTCAACAAGCGGTTTTGTTATCGATATATTACTTGAGCTGGAGAGATAAAGCATACACAGTGACCAAGCGACCCACAGTAAAGTGTACAGTTCGCCCGCATTTGCTACAAAAATACAGACAGGATACTTAACATTCTTTTTAAGGTTATGCAAATCACTTCGAGCGAATACACAGTGTCCCTACTCCTCATAGCGGGTAACCAAAACAATGTATGCAACGAATGAGTGGTTAGTTTGGTGAGGCTGTCTCCGCAGTCTTTTGATAGTTTTCCGCTGTGCTGCTACTTTGGCTTGCAGATGTTTAATGGTTTGCTTGTACTTCATTGATGGAGACATTGTCGCTGGCACACAGGAACGCACTGCAATAAACAAAAAAATGGATGTAAAAGCGAAGAACAACTAATCTCATACGAGCACTTTGCTCGCTCTTTCAGACCCAAGGTGCACAACTTTCTGTGGTGCAAAGTTTTCCATTTCACTACCTAAAAACAAACCATTCACAATGTTGACAATGCACAAAAAAAAATGAAAATCACTGAGAGCCCACCCTTACATTTTGTAAGTGCACACGTAGTGTCCTTTTGAGGATAGTTTCCTCGGAATGTCCTAAACATAAAATAGCACATTAAAAACAGCTGCAATAAAAGCATAGTCACCATTTTCTCTAGGGCACTCAGACGTGGAGCTGTTGGCGGAGACATCTTCTGGAGGGTCTTGTGAAGCTTGTTCAGTGCCTCGGACAGTGCTGTCGGAACAACCTTGCGAGCGGCCTACGGAAGTCTCAATATCAATCCACTCTGGTGTTGAAGTGAACATACAACTTACCGGTCACACAAGTTCCTTTTGTGACAGCTGAACGACTGGTTAAGGTTTTCTCCGGCAAGACGAAGTCAGCAGAAATTCTTTCACCAGCTACAAGGGAGCTGCCACCTGCAGAGGTTTGGTCAACAGTCAATTTGGGTAAAAAAAAAAAGAAATCGCGACACTGAACGCACCCTGTTCATCGGGGCACCTCAATGTGTGGGAGCCGCTTTTTGAAGCCTCTACCGCAGGTCCTGAAGAAATGAAATTACGACAATGTGTCAGTAAGAGGCTTAAAATAACACAAACTGAAGCTCATCCGCACCTTGCAGTGCAGCTTCTGCAGTCATGTCACAGTCACTATTTGAAGCGACGCTCAGAAAATCTGCATATATGTGCAGTTGGTACAAGTTACAAAGCTTGTAGCATGGGGAAACTTAAACAACTCTTTCAAACGCATAAATTGGTAGAACGTGGAAGAAAAGAGAAGGCACCAACAAGGAAACAAGTAATTTGTGATTTTTGGAATTATCAACAGTGCCAGCTTTCACTGATGAAAGGTACAGATGCTCGCGTCCGTGGCAGACGCAGCACGCGTCGCCTCGGCTTGACGCCGTGCCGCCTATGCTATACTGCATACGTTGCACAATGTTCCCGTCTAGCCGCCGCATAGAGCCGCAAACTTTCTTTTTAGCGAACCTCCCCGTCCTTACAAGCTACAGGAAGAGGTTACTACGTGAATGAGACGCCACGTAAGAAACAAACTCGCACACACGAAGTGCAACGTGTGTGTGTGCATCTTTCTATGTTTGTTGCATGGTGTCTTATTCGCACAGGTGTAACCGTTTTCTGAAAAAAATGACCGAACAAGACCAACAACATGTCATTCAACAAGCTTCGCTTGAAAACGTGCCTCACCTGTTATCTCACGCTTGAAAACGCCGACGCAGCCGACGTTGACGAAAGCGACGAAAGCTTCTCGCTGTCAGTCATGCATGGGCTTGTCGCTGGGTGGATGGTGTTTATGACAGTACGGCTGAAGAAAAATAATCGCGTAAGGTGTGTTGAATAAATTGTTTTTATGTATAAAGGACATACCTATTTTGGGCGTATACTTATTATTTTGTGAAAACAATTCTGTTGCATTGATTATAACTGTTTTTTTTTGCGCTTGCGCTCTCTGACGTTTGATGAGAGCACTAGTTGATTACGTAATTGTGACGCACTTCCTGAGGCCAGGTTTCGCGGAGTGTCCTCTCTTGTCTTTTTCTTTCTCTATGCTACACCTACTGCAAAGTAGTGCACATGGAATCACAAATTGTGGCTCTGTATTTTGTTCAGGGTAAAGCCATCTTATTTTGTTATTGTTAACCTTTAGTTCTATCATCTCCTCCTATTGATCGGTGCTTAAACGTGGGCCTTTTTACGTTTTTCTGGTCTTTTATTTTGCTCGTTACGGTGAATAGCCTTTCGACAACCTTTTTATTGTTCACAGATGTTTACATTTGTTCGCCTGCGCCAGCTCTACATCCGCTGTAGACTACGGTGGCTGGACGGACATTGTGAGGTTCTAAGGAGCTTCGCCCCTGAAAGTCAAATGCAACGTTAATGTAACGCCAGGTTTCGATTTTCGCAACTGTAACGAGTTCCTTTTGCATTTCAGGAACTTGTAACGGGAACTCGTTCCAAAATCGGGAAGAAACGAGCTTGTGTTACAGTTGGAGGTGAACGTGTACAACACTGGTTGGGATTCTCGGGGAGTAATGCCGAAATGTTCGCGTGTAGCCTGGATTCTCCCCTGTCACGTGATTGCTGTTGCGGAGGGATCCAAATCACGTCACACGTCATGTGACTTATCCGTACGCGATCACGTCCGTCGTGTGAGTATACAGTACTGGATTGCTTCCGGTTTTGTGCGCCGACGTAGCCGCCTCTCTACTAAAGTAACCATGAGATTAATTCACTGGAAAAACCTATTGCCTCACAGATTCAACGCCACAAAAATTTTAAAAATCTGTCCAGTACGAGCGGAGTTACTAAGATTTGTCACACGCTGCAATCGCATTCTCTCTTCCCGACGAAAGCGTTGGTGGCTGAGCGGGGAGGGATGGGACGCGTCTCGCGTGCCTCGTGACCTTGAGAACTTTCTTTTTTTTTTCGATTGCGCGGATTTATCAGTGCGATCGCGCGCGCACGCGTGGAAAAGTGGCGGCCTCTCGCGGCGACCTCTGTAACAACCGAGCGCGCCATGTTCAAATCAGCCAATGACTGATGGCTGGGCAATCTAAGTGTGATTTTCGTGCGTCTTCCGTCATGTGTAGAGGGAAGAGAAGGCAATTTTTAGCTGACTTTGATAATTTATTTGCGAATTCCAGGCCGCGTGCTGCGCTATAACATTTGGCTCGCGTGTTCTCGGGACCCTGCACTACCGATCGGCAGCGTTTTCTGACCATGCTCAAAAAGTGTTGCAGGGTCCCTTTAAATCAGATTAGGTGCCACTATTACACGGAAGAACGAACAATGCAGGGAAGCTCACTTGCAGAGCGTGAAAGGTGTCTACGGGTTCTTCGGTGCTAAGAGAAACTCCCTGCGAGCACTTACCCGCGCTGCCCTCCACGTTGACGTCGAACTTCTTGAAGTGCCTGTCGTAGTAGTCCAACACGAAGTCGCCCTCCTCGTCCTCCAGACCCGCAGGTATCTCGATGGGCGACTGGGAGAAGCCGGTGTCGCACACGGCACCTGGCATGCAGAACACCAGATCGCCCCAACGGTCCGGTTTGGGTCCTGCGAACGCGCGTAGATCGCCGTGTAGTCAAACTTTCTGGAGCTTTGTACAAGTCAAAACCACGATACTGCGCAGGGTTTATGCCCCGCCGCGGTGGTCTAGTGGCTAAGGTATTCGGCTGTTGACCCGCAGGTCGTGGGATCGAATCCCGGTTGCGGCGGCTGCATTTCCGATGGAGGTGGAAATGTTGTAGGTCCGTGTGCTCAGATTTGGGTGCACGTTAAAGAACCCCAGGTGGTCGAAATTTCCGGAGCCCTCCACTACGGCGTCTCTCATAATCATATGGTGGTTTTGGGACGTTCAACCCCACATATCAATCAATCATGCGCAGGGTTTGTATAAAATTTGTCAAGCTTTTTTTGTTGTTGTTGTGATACGTCAAAGCGCGCTCGGACGGCACATGCGCTGTTAAATTAAAGACGCGCCACTCACCTGCGAACGTTCGTTTAGACTAGATCGTCTTTTCGTGAACCCATGTCCAGTGACTAAAATGCAAGTGCGAAATATTGCAAACGCTAAACAACAGCGCTTCAACATCAACTTTCGTATTGTCTTGGCGACAGACAGTCATAGTTCAGGGGAGAGGGAGGGGGGGGGGCTTAGTGGGAGTAGCCGAATAGCATGATCAAAACGAGCACGGCCATTACGTTAAACGACCCGCACATAGCGTTTACCGTATACGCACGCTATTTTTCAGACTTCGTTCGCGTGTTTTACGTATAGTGCACGTAAAACGCGGCGGCGGTTTTAGATGAACGCATCGAACTGAACTTAGCGCTGATGCAGACGGATCCACATCGGTCGTAGCGTGCGATTCTGTAAAATGGTTTCGCTTGCCTTCATGTGGATTAGAAGACCTAAACAGACTACTGACGTCACGCACTGTGCCTTAAAGACGGAATACGTCGGAAGAAAATCACGCGCTCATTCTTTGTATTTTCAGACATCTCGCAGGGGTGATTTGAGCATGGGTATCGGCAGGTGGTGCAAAAGAGGCATTTGCGCCTCCCCCCCCCCCTAGCCACACTAACTTTGGCCCACACCCACTAGGATTTCTCGATGCACGCGCCCCCTTGCAGGGCGGAGCTATCCTGTCAAAGGATGAATGCCGCCTTCCGATTGGTGGCCGCCGCCATTCGGCTCCTTCGGCTTGTCGCGGCTGTTTCGGTTGATACGCTTGCACGGCGTTTGGCGGAAAGGGCATCGTAATGGCGGGCGCCGTAGCAGACGGCGCCGTTGTCTCCACCCTGCAGGACGGTGGAGATGCGCGCGCGTTGAGGAACCCACGGTGATGCAACGCGAATTTGCATCCCTTATGACAAAATCCTGCCGAAGCACATACTTTGCTAAATACTCATTTAACATATCGATCGCATTTCACGATGCCTTAATATATATGTATATAAAGTACCGTTCTTTCCATCGTAGGACCAGGGACACTTGTTTCCCCCACCTCCATGGTTTGACCGGTTGGCGGGAGCAACGTTCCCTTTCGTGTTGCCTCCTGCGACCAGGGCGTGAAAACATCAATTTTTTTAGAGAATTATTCTTTACAGAAATTACGTCACACGTGATTGATGTCTCGCCGATGTTTCTATAGCTTAACTTGAAAGATGAACCAGCTCTCGTGCTATCCAAAAACACGTGTAAAATTGAGCCATTAAAACGGTATAGTTGAAAACGTATAGCTCGAGTGCTGCTGCCTCTCAAGTTAACAAAAATTGCGAGAAAAAAAATACCGTTCTGCCACTACTTATGCTTAACTTGCAAGAAGTTGATTTCAAGCCCGAAAACAAAACGAAGTTTCGGCATGTCCCCTGTCAGACTTGAAAGCATAATTCTGCAAGTTAAAGGAAGACAAAGGTCAGATGCTCCTACCGTTCTGCCACTATGCTGTTTAACACGGGAAGAAAGCCCCTGAGCTTTATTTAGCCGAGCAGATAAAACGTCACAAGCGGCTGCGCAGAGTGTTCTACAGCGCAGAACAAGAACTGAAGGATAGAATACACGATGGGCAATAGAGACAGTTGAGTTTCATTGGGGTATGTACTTACGAGAGTGTCTGAAATAGCCTGACGAAGTTGCCACACTGTTAGCGAAATAAAACAGCGTAAAAGATGTGATGACAACGATAAAGGTACCGTAACTTTTGCACAGAGTGTCGTTCGGGAGCGAGGAAAGGTCCGGATGATCGACTTCGGCCCGCGCATGGGGCTTGCAGCCCTGCAGAAGCGAAGTAGGAGCGTGGTAGGCTTTATTTGCACCTGGGGACACTTAAGCGAAACGTTAAACCAGTGCAGACTGGCAAATTATTTTATGACAACTCTATCGTCTGTAGTTTCCGCATCATAAGTTAATTACCAGACGATAAAGTAAATGCTTCTTCGTAGGAGTTTGCGCTATAACGTGCGTATCTGAACGTTGAAGTGACGTCACAGATTTGAAGTTTTGTTTTTCGTACTTCGGCCGTATTGGCTGTATTGGTTGATTGATTGATTTGTGGGGTTTAACGTCCCAAAACCACCATATGATTATGAGAGACGCCGTAGTGGAGGGCTCCGGAAATTTTGACCACCTGGGGTTCTTTAACGCGCACCCAAATCTGAGAACACGGGCCTACGACATTTCCGCCTCCATCGGAAATGCAGCCGCCGCAGCCGAGATTTGAGCCCGCTACCTGCGGATCAGCAGCCGAGTACCTTAGCCACAAGACCACCGCGGCGGGGCTGTATTGGCTGTATGAAATTGCCTGACACTTTTCATGTGAACTACGAGCGGCTCCATTGAAACGCGATTCAGTCCACCTTTAGGGCTCGTTCTCACAGCCGTCAAACGACCCGTCCCGTCACCATGACGTCACCGGTTTTTGTCAGGGGAGAGGATTTTCGACCCGTTCTCTCTTCAATGACGGGGTGACGTAGAGCGATGCTCTAAGTTTTCGTCACCAGCGCGGGGACGGAGCTCCACTCCTGATTGTACCAGGGCCGGTTCCCCCTCGGCGCACCTGACGAACAGAAATCGCGGAGAGCCCAAAAAAAAAACGCGGGGATAAAACGACTGAGTGTTTGCATGGTACAAACGACTGGTTGTTTGCGTGTACAAAAATGTGCTGCTGTCGGCCTTGCAACCACCGTCGTCTGTCCAAACACAGCTCCGTCGCGTATTCTCTACGTTTTTTTTTTTCTTTTTTGACGTCAGATACCGCGAAAGGTCATTTGACGGCTGTGATAACAAGACGAGATAACGAATCGCGTAAGCCCAGGCAGACTCCATCAGAATGTATTATATCACGGCCAGCTGGTGCGAGAACCTCATAGCGCAAGTCACGCTGTGAACTTATTTTGAACCTACCCCGGGTTACGAAGCGTTCCTTGGGACAACAGGGGCATTTTAGTTCATACGTAAGCGCTGTAATTGGGTCTGTACGAAATGAGCTTCCAGGTGTCTAGGGCTTCAGCCCAGCGGTATAAACACAACATGCGCTAAAGCACGAGCCGCCCGCCAATTCGCTCTGGCGATACGCCCCGCGCGAACGCGGGTCATCACGTTTGCTGGCTTGAAGTACGCACTTGAAGCAGACCTTATCCGTCCCCCGCCTCTATTTCTACCAGCCTTCTGCACGACGGTAGACGGTCCTCGCGTCTCCTCTCTGCTTGAGCAGCAATCGTCGGCAGCTCTCCCACGCTTTAACCCGCACGTTGAACAAACGACACGCGAGACTATAGGTTCAGGATTTACCCTTTACTATAGGAACATCACGTTGACGACAAAGATACTACTTGCGCGTACATACAATTGCAATGTCAGCCCCATACATTGACATTATATGGCAAGGAGCGAAAGGGGGGGGGGCACCAAGACATCCTCATATCAATGACATGAGAAGTAGAGGGGGGCGCTGCGATTAATCTTTACCCCCCCCCCCCCTACCTTGAAGTGGAACCATGTACATGCTTATGCTTACCCGAACAAAACATTGGTAATCCCGATAGGCGAAAAAAATAACGCGGGCACCATTTAGCAAAAAAAAAGCCACAAAACCATAAAATACCGAACGAAGACTCGAGTACAGGCCACGTGGTTAAAACCCCTGCATAATACTGATGACCTCGAGTCCGTCTGGCATGTACGGAAAGGGTGGGCGTTCTTGCTAGCCTAATTACGTTCCATGCCAGCGCCACTAGGCCCAACAGAGTGAACAAACACAAAACCTGGTGGCTCGTGCGGGACCTGTGCGACAGGAATCCCAGCTCAGACGGAACGCGAATCAGACATTGTTGGCATGGTCGCGCTATATCACCCGTACCTGAAGTACCGGACGCCTCTTCCAAAACATCCCGAACACCCTGGACCCAATGACGCACTAATCTTTCGAGGTTGGCAGGAATACGGCGACGTTGCAGTGGAATGACTCGTTGGTTAAACGCGTGCAATAAGGTTCAACCCACTACTCTGGATAGTGTACGAATGGAGCGTTAGTGATGCGAAAATCAGTGGTACGCGAATCGTGAATTTCATAACAAAATCGGATGCGATTCGAATAGTGACGACACAGAATCGAATACGAATACGAAGCGAATTCTGTTCTGAAAGTTTTCGAATAACTGAGGCAACCATTTTCATAGCAGCCCTATTAGGTAACAGTTTTTAAAGCAGCCTAACAATTCTGCATTTTATTTGAAATATTCAGAAGCTTTAAGAAATGAACATTACGATGACTTCTAGGAGACCAAAAAGTAATAGTACAATTATTTACCCCGAGGCAAGCTCGTAAACAGCAGCAGCTAGAACTATCACAATATTTTGCAACTGCAGGATGAATACTTGTCAGCGTTTTCTTTTATTGTCGCTATAACCACTCAGTCGAATAAAGGGAGTGGTTTCCGATCAATACAACATGTGCCAATGTAACACATTTGAAAGAAGATAGTCCGCAACACAGCAGGATATTCCCATTCCACTACTGTTTATTGCGCCTCAAACGAGATTTATCTAGCAACCAGCCGTTGATTTTTGTTTTCTTTTTTTTTCTACAATGAAAACTTGTGGCACACAGAAATCCATACAGTCCGCGCTCCCAAACAGTCCAATCCGAGGTCACTTGTTCTATTTTAACTTCAGGCTTGTGAACCCTACAACAGTCACTTCGAGGCAAGGTTTACTAGACACCCTATCTCAGTCTTCACGCCATGGCCCTCCCACATTCACTACTCCTCACGGCTCACCGCGGACACAGCGGCTCGATCAACCGTATTTCTCTACCTTGGCCTTCAGCTCTCGGATCCGCCCCACCAGGTTCTTGCAACCGTTACAACCGCTGGCGGGCTCGTTCCCTGTAACGTTATGCCCACTAGTAGGCCTGCAGTCAGCACCGCACAGGTGTTGCCCAGCGTCGAGCCTGCCTTCGAGCTTCGCGCAGGAGCCGGCGAACGTCGTCAGCACGCTGTCCCTTAGGGCTGCAGAGTTAAGTCCAGTCTTCTCGGAGGCAGTCTTCGACCACGTCGCACACCGCCACCCTGACGACGTCATGCCGGAGTTTGGCGCCTCCCTCTTGGCGCCAGAGCTGCCGGTTGTACGGGGGCTTTTCCGAGAGCATCGACTGGACGGACACGAGAAGGCTGGCCAGGGACAGCGCGGGACTCCACTGCGGTCCGTCCCAGGTGCCGATGATGCTGAGGCAGACATGGCCGTCGCTGTACAGGTGCTCGTGCAACTGGACGCGCCCGGCGTCCGTGGTCAGGAAGCGGACATCGGGCGGCTCCATGGGATAGCCGGGCGGACACGCGATTCGGAAGCGGAAGAAGTCGCGCTCTCGTAGGGCGTGTCAGCGGGACCCACGACGATGGCGTCCATCCGGGTCATGTCGCTCTCGTTGGACGCGACGAACACCCCCGGTGGCGGGTCGGCCGTGATTTCGGCGATGTCGTGCCTGACGCGGAGGAGGCAAGGAGACAACGAGCCTGGAATGAACGCGGAGGGTTTGTCTCCGGACGGTGGCTCGTATTTGCTGCCCATGTTCCCGCTGTCGAGGTGACGCGGGACGCTCGAAGAAGGCTATGTAGCTGAGTGTTTCTGACAAGCCGCCTCGAATGGACGCCACGCGTTCACCTGGTCATCCAGTTCTTGTTCTTGTTCACCTATTGACCATGGCGCATGCCCACTATGAGGGATCGGCCCAGTTGTTGTTGTTGTTTCCCTGTGCAAATGGCTCGTACCGAAAGAAGGGGATTGGCCGATTATAAGGTGAATTTGCCCTAAACTTTCAGCAATGCGTCATTCCTACAAGTTTTTTGTAACCTAATTTTGATTTGAAATACCGATATCAAGTTTGCAGAAAAAAAAGAAAAAAAAATAGTGAGACAGTAATTTAGCAAGAAAATCGTTTAGTCGCAGTGATGTATTCTTGAACGGCGAATAAAGCATCCCTGTGGCTGAAACCGAGTGTAGAGGCTCCAAATGAAAGAAGATCAGGTTGTGATAGTTGCAAGCCCAGTCTTTGAAGAGGTCCAGTTCTTTTATCGTGCTTGGCACGTGCTGCACGTGTACCGTGCTCCCATTCCGTTTTCAGGGCACGAGACGGTGGCAGTTCAGTTACTGTCATTGCAAGATGCGTGTCACACACTGAATGGTAAGAATTTCAAAAGAGTGCGTCATTTAGTAAAGTATACAGGTAAGTTAGAAACGCACGTTGGCGCAACTATTTAGTGTCAAAGACAGTGTTCGCCGGGTCATTAAGATCAAAGTCTATGTTGGTAGAAAAAAAAAAAGAAGAATCGTCTGAGTACTGAATCCAAATTCATTCACGTCCAGGACTCTGAGGAACAACCAACCGTTCAGGAAACCGGAATGATACGTTGATAGTTGTACAGCTTGATGGATGCAGTTTTCTTTTCTTTTATATATATATTTCTTTTATTTCAATCTTCTCGAATCACTTTGCCCTTTTCAACATTTTTGTTTACGTTACGTTTCGCCTTTCTCCAATTTCTTTTTTATGTGACATAGCCTATAAGTTTTCTTTATAACGTACCGTGTAGCCAGTCCCCCTTGTGAGTAGCCAAGTTTTTGTAGGCGACAAAACAAAACTCCAGCGGAGTGGGTTGCACCAAGATTGTGAGGAACCAACCAACCACAGTATACTTTTTTATTTGATGTTTGCCGTGTGTCATAGATAGAAAATTAATTGATTAATTGATTGATTGATTGCCCCTTCATTCCGGCGCAACCTACCATGGGAGATTTGCCATATGCATGAAACGAGCGGTGCCTTGCTAGATAAAATAATTTGGTCATAATTTCAAAATCGAAAATTATTTTTTGAACCAGCGCACTTTTTCATCGCCATCTTTTGTTTCGCGCCCAGAACAAGTGCGTCGATTTGTAAGACATGGAATCTAACAACTCTGACGGACTAGAAAGTACAGACAGACAGAGATAAAAATAATCTTGTAAAAAAAAATGTTCCGGGAAGGCAAGGTTCGAAGCCGCGTACCCACGATCCGAAAACGGCGCCGTAGCCACTCGGCTATCCTGGCATGCCAACAAAACATAGCAGAGCATCGTTTGCTATAGTATAGAAAGGGGGTGATAAAGCAAATTTAAGCTATGGAGTAGAAATCTGAAGGTGAGGTAGAGGCAAAATATGAGCAGAGAGAGTAAAGCCTAGCGTTGGGAAGAAAGAAAGAGAGATAAGAAAGGGAAGACAAAGAGCGAAAGAAAGAAGATAACAATGAGAGAAAAAGAAACTTGTGTATATTGTGAAGAAGAAGCTGAGCCATTTATCAGCTCTATTTTTACTGGCCAATCTAACATTTAATATTCAACTATTACACTGTAATGACTTAACCTTCAGAAGAATTTCATATAACGATGACACATCAGTTATTCAACAAATTCTATTATTTCTCTTCTCCCCCCCCCCCTTTTTTTTCACATTATGCCAAATTAATCCCGCCAAGTAAAAACAAAGTAATCCTATTTCCCTAGCCTGGATAATTTTAAGGTATTGACTCACATTAACCGCCGGCTTCTAGGCCAGAACTGAGGCAGAGCCACAAAAAAAAAAAAGGATCAAGCAAGCAAGAAGCAAGCAAGGAGGAGGAAACAATCGGTCATTACTTTCTATCCTGTCGCCGGTATACGTCATTGAGAAGAAGATTCATAGCACGACCTCTTCAAAACTTGGATCTGCAAATATCCGAATCAGTTGTTCTATCATTCGGCGCCGCCCTGTCGCGGTGGTCTAGTGGCTAAGGTACTCGGCTGCTGACCAGCAGGTCGCGGGTTTGAATCCCGGCTGCGGCGGCTGCATTTCCGATGGAGGCGGAAATGTTGTAGGCCCGTGTGCTCAGATTTGGGTCCACGTTAAAGAACCCCAGATGGTCAAAATTTCCGGAGCCCTCCACTACGGCGTCTCTCATAATCATATGGTGGTTTTGGGACGTTAAGCACCACATATCATCATCTATCATTCGGCGCCTCTACTCTGGGCTAAAGTCACAGGGATGTTTACAACGCCATAGAGAAATTTATCAGTCAGACTAAAACAATATAGAGCTAAATTCTCCCTTCTTTTACACATTTAAATATAATAATTCAGTAATTATTTGTTGTGTAACCTATTCCTAGCATATACGAGTAGAATTGCGAAGAAACAAAAAAAAATTGACCTAACACTCGGCCAATCCCTTGCATTGGGTAAGAGCCATGATATGATGATGATAAGAAGAAAAAGAAAAGAAGAAGGAGAAGGAGGATGCGCATTCACGGGTCACGGCTGTGCATTTTTTGCAACGAAATTGAAACAATTCAACATTTCTTTTTTTATTCTGTCATCGTTACTTTTATCAGAGAAAAAGATTTTTAGTAGCCCCATTACAAAAACTAGAAATACAAGTAAATCTACCAGTACTTTTATCACTTGGCGGCACTTCATTTGGTTACTGTCGCAGT